GCAGGTTGAACTGGAATTCATTAGAAATTCCTGAAATGTTTTTAAAAGAAATCATGATAATTAGTAAAGTCAGTGTTTTAAATCATCTGTGCTGGAGTGAGGAGGTTGTTTCATGGTCAGGTTTTAATTAAGGTGAGAAATAAAAAGACTAGGTAAAGAAAAACCTTTTTTATTGCTGATATCAGTAGTCTTGCAATTGAGAGAGTTGTCAAAAAGTTACAACAAAAGTTATAAGCATTTCTTACCCCTGGAAAAACCTTCCCAAGTTTCCCCCTTCCCATGCAACTTCAGTGCTTCTGGCTCCAGGTCCTGTACCCCATTCCAGGTTTCTCCCATGAAGGTTTGCAGGCACCTGACAGGACACAGACAGGTTGTACCTGGTCTAATGACATCAGGTTTTATCCCAGCTCTGGGAAATCAGGGACTGGAGGGGACTGGGAGTTTGGAGTCTGCCCTGCCCTGTGCCAACCTGCTGCTCAGCATCACCAAACAAATCATCCTTCTGCCTGATTTTTTTTCCATTTGAATGTTCTTTCAGGAATTGTGTTTCAGGCATTTCTTAATCCTTTAATGAAAAATGTAACAGCAGCATTAAGTACTGTTCAGTTTTTTTATGCTTGAGCTATAAATCCATCCTCAATCCATCCTTTTTCCTCAATGGAGGTTTTGCATTTCAGGGGATTAAGTGTTCTTTATGCAGTGCTCTGCCTCTGATTTTCAGCTTCTTTTGTGTTCATCTGAACTCCAGAGAGAGAGAAGTTAAAAACCAATCAAATATGACCATTCCAGACTGGTCAGTGCTGACTAACTGGTATCACACCTGACAATGAATCAAAAGCTGCTGATCTCGGATGGTTTCCTTGGAGAAGCTCCCAAGGGACTAAAGTAGTCATGTGCCTTTAACTGAACAGAAAGTAATGTCAGATGGGAGGAAGGAAAACAAAGCTACTCATGCAGGAGTCACATCCTTTTCCACCTTGGCTGCCACCACCTGGGTGTTTGGTACTGAGGTCACCCCGGGTGCAACACCCGGGGAGCTGCAGGGGATGGGGAACCCCCAGTTCCTTCCTCCCCCACAGCTCCCCCTGCTCCATCCCTGATGCCTGGAAAGAGTGTGGGGAATCTCTCTGCTCAGGCTGCCTGGCCAGCTGAAGACTCTAATTCTAAAAGCAGAGGCTGGGCAGGTATTAGTCTGGTATTATGGCAGAGTGTGACCTTGTGACACCGGGTGACACACGTGTCCCCAGCTGGCAGGGCTGTTCTGCACCCTCACACGTTTTTAGAGGGAGATTAGCTTTTAAATAGCTGGCTGTGATGCATTTTTCTGCCAGATGCTGTGATTTCTTTCCACTTGAAACTTAAAACCTTGGTTGCTGCCAGTGTGTCCTCTGAAGAGTGTCCCTGCCAGACCACTGCTGGCACTAAGCTCTGGTGATGCCCATTGCACAGGTACAGGATGATCTGAGGTGGAGCTTTTCTGCCTCTGACGAGCTGGGATGGGATAGAGAACCTGCTTGGCAGGTCACACATGTGCACACCACAGAGCAGGAGCTGGGATTATCCCCCTCACGTGAACACTGCAGAGCAGGAGGAGGCAGCAGCTGCGGGACTGAGGTGGGGAGCGGGAGCTGCTGCTGATCTTGTCTTGGAGAAGGTGCTTCCAGCAGAGCAGTGGCCCCTAACACCATGTCTGGGCAGGGTATGTCCCATGACTCAGAGCATGATTTCCTGCAGGAGCTGACATTATTTGTTTTCCAGGGAATGTCTGGCCCAGCCCTGGGAGGTTTGTGGGCTCTGACATGGCTCGTCGCAGGTTAGCACAGGCTGAACTGAGGAAGCACTGGGAGTCCTGTGAGCATCTCTCTTGTCCCTCCCACTCATCCCAGACTGTTCCAATGCTTATATTTTATTTTTTGTGGTGTATTTTTACCATTGTCTCCTGTGTATCCAGCCAGCTCCACTATCTTGATGGGCATTCACTCCCTGGTACTCAGGACAACACTGTCCATGGTAATGTGGACAGGAACAGCCTGGAGCAGCATTCCAGCCTCAATCTCCCATCAGGGACACAGGGCTGTCAGGGCCCCCCTGCCCCAGCCATGCTTCCCCTGAGCACCAACCTGTGCACAGCTGATTTTTAACTTTCCTGCTTTTATTGATCTGCAGTACCCAAGCCATAATTGCTTTTGTTCTTGTTCTGACTTGTAGGGCCTGAAATTCCAGGTTTAACCTTGCTTTGGTAAGCCTGGGGGAAGGAGGAAAGGACAGATCAAGGTATTTTGGATAGTTTAGTCAAATAGCTTGTGGCCCAGGTAGTGTTTTCCAATCCTACCCTTGTTGATGTCACAGAATTGCAACATCCTGAGCTTTACACTAATATCAAGTGGAGCATCACTTTCTCAGAGCATAATAATGGGGTCAGGAGGGATCAATAGATGGCATTTACAGCCTTTCCAAGACTTCAGCCTCCTGGTTGACTGCCAGTGCTTTAGGGCATGGCTTTAAACCAGGCAGAATGGGTAACCTGCAGGGGATGTTTGGCCACATCCAGCATCACCAGCAGCCTTGTAGAAACTCAGACTGGTCAGGCCTTCCTCTCCTTTGCCTTCTCGGAGAGTCACTCTACCGGGGGAGGAGGTTTGATGGGATTTCTCACGGAGTCTGGGATCGGGTGGCAGCACTTTTACCACGCGAGGCTCCACTGCGGGGTTTGACACACCTGTGCGGGCAGCTCGTGGCCCCTCTCCCCTCTCCGTTCCGCTTTAAAACATTCCAACGTTCCTCCTCGCTTCCTTTTTTTTTGCCGCCAGCTGAGCTGGGGAGGAGGCTGCAGGAGGAGGAATGTGGCGTTACCGCATTGCTGAGCAGGAGCTGGGGAGGGGCGGGCACGCCCAGGCTGGGCACACCTCAGCCAGGAGGAAGCCGTGCCCGGCTTTCACACTCTTATAGCCTGAGGGACGGTATTTTTTTTTTCTCCTCCCCCCAGCTCTATCCCCTTTCTCTGAGCTTCCAGCCCTCAGCTTGCACGTGCCTGTGTCGCTCAGCGTGGGGATGGGGAGGTAGGTGGCACGAACAGCAGAGGAACTGGAGGAGGGATCTGGAGTGGCCTGCTGAGCCCCTCACCAGTATGGGAGAGGACGTGATTTTGGGGACATTTCAGTAAAAACAGTGCGAAAGACTCTATGAAAGTCTGTTTGAGGATGAAAACCCGCAGTTTAGGTGAAATGTGGTGTGTAAGTGGTGCAGGGGAGCAATGGATTGAGGGGGGGACACTTTTTAGTTTAGGCATATTACTTAAAGGTTTGTTACTTTGCTGCCACAGTAAAAAAATAAAGTTATGAAACTGTTTCCATATATACTCTTGTAAAGCGTCAGTGACCACTGAAAGGTGGGGAGTGAAAGAGAACTCTGAATTAGGTGTGAAGCAGGGGAGAAGGGCTCCTCATCAGCTGGGCATGGGGCTGGAACTCAAACAAGAACCATGGTTCTTAAAAAATGTGACTCTCTGACTCTTTTCACAGCCGGTGAGTTCGCAGGATTGTGTTTATTAGATAACTCCGGAGCTTATCTTGGGTGATTTTGTGTCTTGAGGAATTCTGGTGCCGCAGGCAGGAGGGGGGACTCTGCCTGTACAGCCCAGGTCGCCTTTGGGCTGGAAGTCTGACATGTGGACACACAGTGTGATTATAACTCACGTGGACATCCCGAATTGGGCTTTAAAGGATCAAGCTGAGGTGCTGATAGTGGCACTGCCTTGTCACTGTGAAGCGAAACACAATAAACCTGTCGGAGAGGGCGGGTGAACGTCCCAGGGAATCACCCGATGGCAGCAGCTCTTGAGGGAGCTGTTTTCAAGCTGATTTGGTCCACGCCGGCTCCAGGGGAGCTGAGGTGAATTACAGATGGGCTCTCACTTGCTGCCTGCCCGCAGAGCAGCTGGTCCAGGGTGCCCTCACCCTCCCCAGGAGTGATTTCTGCGTGCGCTGTGCCCGTCTCGGGGCTGCCGTGAGTTATGCGGTAACAGGGTGGGGATGTCTGGGGATCCCTGAATCACTGCCTTTATCATCACTGCACCCACGGGCACCTTCTCTCCCAGGTGAGGCAGCTGCCTGTTAAAAGCCAGGGAGGAGGGAGCCGGAGCTCAGAGGGTTCCTGTGGTTGCCGAGCGGTGCAGGGGGAGGGAGCGCTCCCTGTGAACAGGGGACACTGCGGGGACACTGCGGGGACAGGGACAGCGCTCCTGCTCCCACAGGGAGGAGGGCAGGTGAGGTTTCCGGCTCTTGGGGGTGTGCTGGCAGCTCTTCCTTCCCTGGGCTCCGTGGGAGATACTCTCGGTTGATTTTTATGGGTTTCTTCATTTCATGAGATGGGACCTTTGGGCTGTCGCGTGACGAGTTTTGATCTGGAGTTGATTCTGGAAACGCAGGCAAAAGGTGGGGCTGAGGAACAGAAAGTGCAGTGTGCCTGGGACGGGGTGGCTGGGGGCTGTGTGGGGGATGTGTGTGTGTGTGCACACCCCTCGGAGCATCCCTTCTAGCCGTGCATTCCCACCCGGCATCGGCACTGATCCCTGGTCGCTGCTGATCGTGGTGCCAGCGGCTGTGGCTTCCCCATGTCCATGGGGAACTGGGCAGTCAGGAATCACTGCTGAGAGCAAGGAGCCTGTTTGGTACCTGTGGTTCACCTCAGCAATAACACAAAGATCCAAAGATAGCTTTTGGGGAAGAGGGGAATCTCTGACAGACTTTGGGACAATCCCGTGTGCTCTTTGCGAGCCGGATGAGAAACTGCGGCTCTTTGGACGTTGTAAACTAACACAACCTGATTTTCCTCTTCACGATTCTTGATTTTTCACCCACGTTATTCTGTGTGGATCGATTAAAATCATCTCCCGGTAAACTGAGCAGGAAGGTGAAGGACATGGGCTGAGCTTTTGACTGGCATTTTCTGCTCATTTTCACTCACACTGTGAATTCCTCCCTAGGTGTGTCCGTGGCCCGATGGAGTCTCGCTGCCAGCTTTGGCCGTGGGCATTATTTGTCCTGCTGGGTAAGGCTCACCATGCAGAGTTATTAAAAGGACATGGGGCACGCTGACTAAATAGAAACACTGCTAATGTAAGCTTTGTATTAGTAGCAGTGTTGTGGCAGCAGCAGGAGACTGGGGTTTGATAACAGTGCTGGTGTTTGGCAAAAGGCTGAGCTGCATGAACAGGGGACACCAACCAGGGCTGGGCAGGATGATGGGCAGGGCACTGAGCAGCCCAAACACCGGGGTCAGGGCAAAGCAGAGTGTGAGAAATAACTGCTAGCACAAAACACTTTAAAAGTGCCTTTTTCATATTTAAAATAAAAGCAATTTAGGGGCAAAATAACCTTCCTTCTCATTGGCAGATGCATGGGGTAGGTTGCCCCAAGCACGTCCTTGTTGCTCTGTTGTAGGAAACAGCAGATTGTTTTCTGTGTGCCACCCTGGCACAGCCCCTAATCCTGTTTTCCTGCCGTTCCAGCTGCCCCACAGCTGCTGGATGCACAGCAAGCCTGTTCCCAGGGAGCCTGCTACCCCCCTTCTGGAGACCTGCTGCTGGGACGAGCCCACCACCTGACAGCCTCCTCCACCTGCGGCCTCAGCAGGCCTGAGACGTACTGCACACCCCATGGAGAGGTACCCCCACCTGCCACCTCCCCCCTGCACAGCCCTGAACCTCCTGCAGGGATGCAAATGCCTTTTTTACCCAGCCCAGCCTTCCTCCCCCCTGTCCTGCAGGGATGTGTTTGACCCGTCCCCCAACCCAGGCAGGATGGATCTCAGAGAAACCTGGTCTAGTGGAAAGTGTCCCTGTGGCAGAGGGTTGGAATGAGATGAGCTCTGAGGTCCCTTCCAAGCCAAAATGTTCTGGGATTTTATGATTTGTCCCCTCTCCAAACATGCTGGGTCTTTGCACTGCAGTGTCCCCTTGAGCCCTTCTCTACCATCCCCACAGATGAGAAGAGAAGCTGACCGTGAAGGAAGAGTCAGGGAAAGGGCAGCAAAGCTCTGCCACAAAGCACTGAAGGCAAAACAGAAGCTTTTTGCATCCAAAATATCCCAAACTCTCCTATCTCTGGACGTTTTAGTTATGAGCTAAACTCGTATTTCACTTGTCAAAACCGGGAACGTTTCAGGTCTTTCCCAAAGACTTGGAAAAGCTGCTGAACTCTGAACAAATGTTTTCAATCATGCTGCTTGTGTGGGGGCAGGAGGTCGTGCTGGGGGAGATGAGGCTTCAGGCAGCTGCAGATTCCCCGAAGCTGCCACCAAATCAGAGGGGGAGTTTAAGGATAAATCTGCCTGAGCACAGAGCTGAAAACTGCAGGGGTGATGTCCCTGGTGTGAGCACTTCCTAAAGCCTTTCTGTGCCTGCTGTTAACTCCATAACTGCTGTGGGAGGAGCTCCAAAGGGAGGGAGTTCAGTGCAGGACAGGCAGAAAGGGTCTTGGAGGAGATGCTCCAGAGGAAAGCAAATAGCACCCCTCCAGCCAGGCTGTTTTCTGCGGTGAAATCCAGCTCGAGTGAGTCAGCCTTCCTCTGGTTTTAATTCCTCTTCAAACTGAAGGCCAAGACGTGGCAGTAAGTGGATTTGTGGTGGAGCCAGTGGTGTTCTCTGGGCTGGAGAGCTTTCCACTCTGTGAGCTCAGGGAGGAGGCAGCTCCCTGGCCCAAAGGGGTGTGAGCATCACATCCTCCGGGATGCTGGGCTGGCTGCAGCATCTCTCCTCTGTCAGCTCCTTTTCCAGGCTGACAGTCACAGTCAGGAATTTCCTCTATTCAGGCTCCCACTCACTTTTTTTTTTGGAGCTGTTTTGCTACTCCCAGGGATCAGGGCTGATTGTTCTCCTCTCAAGCAAACCCCTGCTGCTTCCCGTGGCTGCTGTGGCCTGTGGACGGGGAGAAGGAATCAATAATTTCTGCTTTGACTTAATGATCTTTTTCTTCCCAATTTCTGTTAATAGATGAGGGAAACTACATAAATGTGCTGTAAAATCTCCACTTAACACTGACTTTTGGCAGTGACTTTGAGAGGTCACTCTGAAGGGCACCAGTTGTGATCAGCTGCATAATTTGTAATCTTTTGAAGTGGAGACTGGACACCTCTCTGATGTCTCTGGTATTTCTGGAGCAGAAATGATCCATTGTGTGCAGAATTAGTGAGTGAGGGCTCACTGTGGTGCTGTGGAGGAGGGCAGGGAGCAAATTTACTGCAGTCTCTTCTAGTCTAGAAATCCCTAAACTATTCACTTTTCATATTCCTTGTCCCTTGCCTTACAAGAATCAGGGTTAAAAGGGACATGGGACAATTAACACTGATATTTTGAGTTGGATTCTCCAGTTCTAGCTTTGGGAATGGGGCCTTTGCTTCCTTACATATTTCCTTTATTAAAATGTAAGATGCAGAGTTACTCCTAGCGAATTCCCTGATTCCTGTTCTGCAACTGTAATGGCCAATGGAGTTTTGATTAGACCAGCTCTTATCTTGGTGGAATCAGCATTTCCCAACTTTTCCCTCCCTTCCTCTGCTTCCCTAATTTAAGCAAAACTTGATCCGCTGAACCCAATTTTCCTATTCCTGTCCCATAAAATGTTCAATTTATAGACTCTTGCGACTCTTTTTTGGTTACAAGCCTTGCTCTTGGGGTTTGGGCTTTTTTTTTTGCCAGATTTGGAGGTGGTTTTGCAATCTCAGCAGAGGGCATGGGACGAGGGGTTGCTCTCCCTGGTGCCAGCTGGTCAGTGCTGCCCGTCTGCTCCCTGCTGGCCCCAGAGCCCTCTTTTGCAACTCTGGTGGGTCACTTATCAACTTCAGCCTCTGCTCCATTGTCTGCCCCAGCTCCAGATCCCTCTAACCTTTATACTTTGCACTCCTGATTGCTCCACTCCTTGGCTGCAGGCTCGGTCTAGTGAAATCCAGGAGGGACACTCAGCGTTGCCATTTATAGCACAGGGGACTGTGGTGGTGACCAGGGAAGTGGTGGGGGGTGGAAACCAGGCAGGCCAATGGTGAGGCTTGGAAATCACTCAGTGCTTGGGAAATGGCTGGTAGAGTCAGCAGATAAAGGGAAAGCAAGAGGGAAACTGAAAATAAAACAGGAAAACAAGCGAGCCTGGATTTGGAGTTGGAGAGGAAAGGCTCCATGTGAAAGACTGATGGAAAGATTCTCTGGAAAGACTCTGATGGACTGGGGCGTGATTCAAGGCTGAGTTAACACATCTCTTCCTTTGAAAAGATATAATATATATGTAAATATACATATTATACAGATGTAAATATAAACACACGCATAGCACTGTGATAGGAGTACAGAGTAGCTCCCACTGGCTGACTCCAGCCTAGGGAGGGCACACTGTGGCTTTCACATGGACTATCAAATCCCAAGTCCCCTGGCCTGGCCTGGCCCTTCCAAGTGACAGCATGAGGGCTGTGCCTGCCTGTGGCCCCTTGCTCTGCTGCTGGAAGCAGTGGGACCTGTCCTGTGCCATGTTCAAACCCAGCAAAGATCAGCCCTTCTCTGCAGGGAGAGGGTTTCTTTCCTCCAGGGTCACGCAGTGCTTTTGCTTAGACATATTCACAGCTAGAAAGTAGCCACAGATTTTTCTGGTTGCTTTATTAGTTTAGAAGAGCACCCCAAGCACCTTTCACATCCTTGTGAAACCTTTTCCCAGACAGGCAGGAGAGGAGCAGAGCTGTGTGTCCCTGTGCTTGTGTTGCATCCTACAGCAGAGAGGGGGTGTGTGACAGCTGTGTGGGTCCTCACACCCCAACCCTGGGAGACTTTGAGTGTTAAAAGCTGTTGGCACAAGGACCAGGATTTTCAGCCTCCTCTCAGCTGCTCTTCCTGGGCACTTGGTGGATGTGAAGGGTGGGAAGTCACCTTTACCACCCCTTGTGTCGTGGTGACACCGAGCCATCCAGGTGGGAATTGAGAGCTACCAGAGAAGCCTGATCCTTCCATGAGCCAGGGGGAGGGAAATGTGAGCCAGCTGGAGCTCCTGGCACATCAGAGGGGGTTCCTCTGCTGATGGATGGTCGCAGCTGCCTGGCAGGGCTGGGCTGCAGCATCTCTGGTGCCTCAGCACCAGCTCCTGCTTGGCTGCTTCCAAAAATACAGGCCAATGTCTGGGAGGGAGAGTAAGTGCCAGACTAATGCTTCTGCCTGCTGTGCTGCTGCTGTCTGAGGCTTCCATCTGCTTTGCCCACCTGCATGAGTCAGTCAGGGAGCTGGGTGTCCAGCCAAGGCTTCCTGGGTGCTCCAGCAGGCCCTTGGCATGTTGGAACAGGGGAGGAGGAGGCTGGAAAGCTGTGCCTCCCAGCTCACTTGCTTTCCAGACCCACATCATCAGTCAGGCTCGAGCTTTTTATGCAGAAAAACGCACCCACAAAATCGTGAAATAACCATGACAGGACGTGACCAAAGCAGGGCTTCCACTTTTGGGTTCTTCCTCGCCAAGTCAGGGGTTTGCACTGAATAATTTGTATTCCCGACCTGTTGAGGGTGATACAGCAACCACATGTTGCTGCTCAGTGCTTATCTCACTCAGGCATTCAGACACACCCTGCTCTTTGCTGCAGGGATATGTCCCTACCTGCAGTGGATGTGCAGAAGAAAAAGCCTATTTTTCATTATTTTTTCCCCTCCTCCCTTCTCTGTACCCTTTTTTTCTTGCCATTTGACTGCAAACTGACACACGTGGTGGGAGACAGCCCTCTATTTGTGTTTTGAGCTTAACCCTGGAGCTCATTTTCAGTGTCATTTCCAACAGGCCAAGCAAGGATGCGACATCAGTGCTCTGGTTAAGAGAACCACGGGTACATGGTGGGATTTTGGGGCTGTCCTGTGTAGGACCAGGAGCTGGGCTCGATGATCCTTGTGGGGCCCTTCCAACTCAGGAGATTCCATGGTGTATAGCTGTGTTTCAAAATGGAAAGCCAGTCCAGTTTAGCAAATCCCAGTTGTTCACTGGGAAGTTTAGCCATGATGACACAGCTGTGGGTAACTTCTACTGCCTTTTCCCATGGAAAATGTATAGATGACTTCACAGGCACGAGCCCTGCTCCACGAGCCTGGCATAGCCCTGTCCTGCAGCTAACAGGACAGGAAAATGGGTTGGAACAGAGAATTACACAACTTGGCTTTGCAGGTGCCTTTATTCCCCAGGTAACTTCTCATCGCTGCCCACCCTAGTTTTTAATAACCTTTAATCTCTCTCTGCATATGTATAAATTCCCACTGCTTTCCAGCTGGTCCCAAAATAAACTTGGACCAGGAATTACTGTCCCTATAGAATATCAGTTGTGTAAGAGCACACAGGGCTCCCTTGGGGGAGGCTGTGCCAGCAGCACTGACACAGTGCTCTCCCTGCAGCTGGCTCAAATGTGGGACCACCGAGGTCTCCACAGCTATGAAAGGTCTCTGTTTCATGACTGGAGAGCAGCAGCTTCCCATTTTTGCTGATGAATAAGCTCGGTTTATTTTGGGGTTGTGCTCCTCTGCCAGGAGGTTGCATTTCGAGGGCTCTCTGCTCACATTAAAAATGGCAGCTCCTTAAATTACTTTGGTCAGAGTCCATCAGCTTAAAATCGTTTGAGGTTTGCAGTCCCTGCGTGAGCAGGGGAGCAGGAGAGGCTGTCAGGAGCTGGTTCACGAGGTCAGAGCAGGAGGAGAGCAGCAAAACCCTGCAGAAGTGTGTCATATATGGGTATTTTTACAGTAGCTGGTGGTTGTTCTGAGGGGATTTTTTTCCCTTCTCCGTTATTTCTAAGACATGAGTCTGTTTATTCCCAGCACTCTGGCTTTTCCTCTGAAATGACTGTGTTGTGAATTATCATTCAGGAGTCTGGAATGAATTTCCCTTAATCTCAGAACCTCCACAACTCATATTTTTGGTGACTTTTCGGAGTAGCCTGGGGGCACAGAGGTCTGTTAACGCTTTCCCTGCAGAACTACAACCTCTTTTACCTTCCTGATGTCCTTTCCAGCCCCCATCCCACACCTCCTCCCACACAGCCTCTGCCTGGCAGGGAGGGGAGGACGTGCTGGAGAGCCAGGGATGCCCCAGGGGTTGGTGACCCACTTTAAACCCAGACCTCTTCACTGTCCTTTGTCTATTCCTGGCCCAGCTCCGAGGGATCTGCTGAGCCTGGTAAAAAAAGGAGAGAGCTGGAGGAAGGTCTGTGCCTGGTAAAATCTCCCCTCAGCCCGGCTCTGGACTGTCATTTTTGGTAATTCCCTCTGTCCCGAGGAACTTTGAGACACATAGGCACCGTCGGGAAGAGCAAACCCTCCTGTTGTGCAATCCAGGGCTTTCACAATTTGCTCCGAGGACGTGAAATGAATTTTGCTTCCAGTGTTAATTTTAGCCTTACTTAAAAAGCTGAGAAAAAGAAAAAAAAAAAAAAAAGGAGAAAAATAGAAGATTTTTGCATGCAGCACAGCCCCAGGCTGCCTGGGAAGGGTCTGTCTCACACAGTTTAAGCTTCATTTTTACTCAGCACCGCATTTTAAGTGAGGTTGCAGCTGCAGAGTAGCTACTAGAGAGCACTGGTGTCTGTGGCTGGGTGAACGATCCAATAAGTATGCACGAATCACTCCTAATGAATAATTTAGCCGAGATTAACCTTTCCCCTTGCGGAAAACCTTCCTTTCCCCTTTGCTAGGCACAGTCACAACTGGTGTGAAGTTTAATCACTGTTGGCAATTGTTCAGTAGATTATTTCTGTGGATAATTCCTGCAGCTCCTGACAACTTGCTGCTGGTGGTTATTATCTGAAATGAGTTCTTCTGCCTAGACCTGATTGAATTATTTGTGATTCTCACTGGCAGAGCCAGGAGGAGTTGGTAGAGCCAGGGAAATCGCAAGATGATATATTTTGATTTCTCTGTTTGCTTGCTTTGCGATATTGTTATAAATATTGTGGTTATACAACTCCTGTTCTGGGACGTTTATAGACAGAGAATGTAAAGATTGGGGAAAATAGTGTGGAAACAGATCAGTTTAAAGTGAGCATCTCTCCTCATAATCCACCCAGCTGAGGAAAGGTTCCCAGGTTTGGGACAGAGCAGAGTCAGGTCTGGGCTTTGTTAGGGATTAAAACCAGCCCAGGGTGTGAGCCCACATCTCTCCCTGCTGCCCAAGCACCTCTGGGTGGCTTTGCAGCTGCTGTGGTACCAGCTGGTGCCTTCTGATCAAGGCCACCCTCCTCCTTGGGTAGTTTTGTGGGAGAGCAAGCAAAAATGTGATTCTGGACAAAATGTGTCATTGATTTTCCATAAGTTTTAAAGTGTTGGGAAAAAAAAAAAAAAGGTTCTTATGAAGCCAAGTCCTTTATTGTAAAAATAAGAGACTGGCTTAGCTGAGCCTGTTTCAGGAGTGAGGCAATAGGTGTAAACCATAAATCAATTTTTAGAGGGGAAATCAGTAATCCTGATGCTGTTGTGGCCCTGAATGTCACCTCCAGCTGCCCTTGTGGGCACTGGCCCCTCCTGACCCCAGAACACGTTTTTTAGTGTTTTGGTTGGAACTGGCTCATTTGTTTCAAGTATCAGACAGGAGGTTTAAGCACAGAGGTGGCTGTAAAGTGCTATTTGTCACTTGTCACTTGATGTCCCTGCTCAGTCACTGAAAGCTGATCCCATCACTGGGGTCCCAAACATGCCTGTGCCTCTGGTGTTACCTAATGCCACTGCAGTGACTGCCAGCCCTTGCAGCAGGGTATCTCATTGCCTGCCCCGTGCCAGCTGTGCCTGTGCCAGCCACACTCTGCTCCTCTGCCCTTCTTCATCCCTCTTTCCTCCCAGGATGAACTTTCTGAGCTGTCCTGCCCTGAGCCATCGAGACCAGCTCCTGCCTTCACTGGCAAACACTGTGCTCCACCTTCCCCAGTTCCTCAGGCTCTGGGATGTGTCAGTGGGACATGTGTGTCCCACTGCTCCATTTGGGAGTCTGCTTCACTGCTCAGGCCACTGGTATTTTAGGATTAAAGAATGGTTTAGGTTGGAAGGGACCCTAAAGCTCATCTCATTCCACCCCCTGCCATGGGCAGGGACATCTTCAACTAGCCCAGGTTGCTCCAAGCCCTGTCCAACCTGGCCTTGGACACTTCCAGGGATGGGGCAGCCACAGCTTCTCTGGGCAACCTGTTTCTCACCAGGCTGTAGATGCTGAGCCCTTCCTTTTGAGCCTTGAGCGGCAGCTTCTCCCCCGCAGTGGCCTCTGCAGTCCCTGGCGTTTGTTCCACTCCCAGTGCTTTTGGATGTTCCCCATGGGATGCTGCTGTACCCTCTGGCATCATCTGCTCATTTACCACCCCCCTGGGACCTGCCCTTCCCCACCTTGGCCTCACTTGGGTGTCTCCCTCCCATTTCGAGGTGGTCCTCACCCAACCTGCTCGCCCACCCTGTGCCTGCCTTTCCCCTTGGCCAGTGGCCAAGCCTTTCCTTCTCCCCCTCTCTTGCTCAACCTCTTTCCTGCTGCTTTCTACTCATTCCTGAGCCTGCTCATGAGCTGCACCAACCCGTCAACCCCCGTGGTAGTGGTTGCAGGAGCGTTGCTTGGTTATTCAGACTTGCAGTATTTGTTTGCTCCCCCGGGGGCCGTTTTCTCCCGGCCCCACATTGCCTGGGCTACACCTCCTTTTGCTCCTTCAATTACTTGCTCAAGTGAAGGGCTGAACTTTGGGCCACTCGACTTCCCACCCCCTGACTTCTCACCCCCTGAGCTGTTTGCTCCCATTCTGCTCCCCGGGGAGAGCTCGGGGGGCGGGGGGGTTGAGCATCGCCTGGAGCTTTTGGAGGAGAGAGAAAGGCCTTTCTGTTCACCCAAACTGCTCCCTGGGCTGTGTGGAAAAGGCAAACTAGTCCTGAAAAGCTGCAAAGAACTTTCTGTCAAGTGCTGGCATTGTGGAAAACGGGGCCGGGTGCTTAAAAAAAAGGCATTTTTGCTGGTTTGCCAAAAATCTGGTTTAGGAGAAAGCGTTTTGGTTTTACTAATTAGTCCATAAACCCAGAAGCTGTGGTTTTCAACGAGGTGGGAAGGGGAGCATTTGAGTCCTGTGTGTGGTCAGTCCTGCAGCCCTTCAGCTCTCTACAAACCAGCTTTACTGGTGCCATTTGCTCCTGGTCGAGCCCGAACTCCACTTGGACCACTCGTCTCCGAGGTCTTTCCCTCCAACCAGACTGGGATGGTCACTTCCACCTGTCCTTTGTCTTCCAGTGGAGCATGAAATGCTGCAGGTGTGACTCCCGTTTGCCACACACCTACAACGGCCACCGGGTGGCCAATGTCCTGTCCTCGGCCGGACACGCGCGCTGGTGGCAATCCCAGAACGGTGAGTCTTTGGGGTACCCCAAAGGCAATAACCAGCCTGAGGGGAAGAGGTAGAAGGTGTTGAATTCAGCAGATGGGAAGGAAAGAAGGGAATAACCAGCTTGGCTCGGGCAGCAAAGTGGTTTATCCTCCCGAAGCCCCCAGTGTGCCCCTCTGAAGCCGCCTCTCTGTGCCCGCAGGTGCCGAGCGCGTTTCTCTGCAGCTGGACCTGGACCAGACCTTCCAGCTGGGCAGTGTTGTGCTGCTCTTCAGGGTGAGTGTTTGTGTCTGTGTGCAGCATCTCTGCTCCCCAGGAGGCTGCAGATGGCTCTGGGTGGGCCCTGCTGGCTCCCTGTGACCGCGGGGATCTCGGTGCTTCCTTCAGGCTCCCGACAGGAAGCATGCCAGGGTCCCTGCCCCACTTTTTCCCCTGTTTTGCCCATGACAACTGGGAATTCCATTCCACTGGGAGGGGCAGAGCAGGGTGGGGGGCTCCCATCCCATGAAAGCCTGCTGAACAAGTCTCCTTTCAGATGTGTGCTTTGTGGCTGCAGCAGGGCTGGCCGAGGTGGAGGGATCCCAAAAGTTGTTGGCAACCTGCAGGGAAGGGTATTAGTCCATCAGCCTACAGAGACCGGAGCCTGGAGGGAGGTGGAGGAGGGACAGGCAGTGCCAGGGCAGGAGCTGGCTGTGGTGTGCCTGTGACAGATGTGCCTCTCTCCCTGCCCTGCAGTCTCCTCTTCCCGCTGCGATGCTGATTGAGCGCTCCACCGACCACGGCAGGACCTGGCAGGTGTACCAGTACCTGGCCTCTGACTGTGCCACCGCCTTCCCCCACGTGCCACGGGGCTCCCCCGAGAGCTGGCAGGACACTCGGTGCCAGCCCCTGCAGGGGCACCCCATGCAGGGGGGCAAGGTAGGGTTTGGGGGGGTTCTGTGGCCCTGGGTTTGGAGTGGGAGGCCTGGGCAACACTGAAGGGATACGTGGTGGCCTGGAAGTCTTCTACACCTGAAGGATGGAGCCCACAGACCATCCAGTACTTTTTTTTTCCTTCTAAGGTGACATTCAGTGTCCAAGACCTGGCATCTACAATCAGCACCTCCTACAGCCAGGCTGTTGATAGTGAGTGACCATCCTCTTTCATATCTGAGAAAGGGAGAGGGGAATGAGGCACCTTGTGGTTCTTCCTACAGGAGCTGGGGTAACCCCAGGGGAGCAGGAGCTTGAGCTGCTGTCTTGGTGCCTCTGGGGTACCAAGGAGCAGCATTTGGCCTTTCCTGAAGGCTCAGCTTCTGCCCCTCGTGCCAGTGCCTCCTTGTCTTGCTCCAAGCCTCCACATGAGCTGCAAAGTGCTTCTGCAGCACCTGACTACCTGCAGGTACCTGGGTACCTGCTGTCCCCTCACCCCTGTCCCCGCTCCCCAACAGAGCTGGGGCGGTTCACGAACCTGCGGATCAACTTCACGGGGCTGCCGCACATCCCACGCCAGGGGTACCACTCCCCCAGCACCTTCTACGCCGTGACAGAGATGAGGGTGATGGGGAGCTGCTTCTGCCACGGACACGCCGACCGCTGTGCCCCTTCTGGAGGCCAGCACCCCACGGTGAGCCTCGGGAAAAGCCAAGACACAAGCTCCATAGCATCAGGCTCTGCCACGTGCCCAGAACGCTCCTTGGGAGACCTTGGCTGGCATGACCAGAAATCGGGGCAGGGGAGGCTTTTTAATGCTCATAATTGAGGGAAACAGTGCCCTGTTTAGCCTGCAGCAGTGGGGTGATGGCTGTGGGACAGCAGCCTGTGCTACTCCTCCCCTGTAGCCCTATTTTGTGTCGGGAAGAAGGTGGAGGGGCTTTTTAAGGAGAGACAAAGCTCAGTGTCAGTGGGAACTCTGGCTCTGGGGGAACTGCTCCTGCCAGCACTCAGCAGGGTGGGGGCCACACAGGTGGTTTCAGCAGGCTCCTGCATGCCCAGGAGGATTTGCCAGTGCAAGGCTGTTGGCTGCTGTGGGATTTTCTCGTCCCGAGATTAGGCTTGGGTTGCTCTCAGGTGGGTGACAGGGGTGGTGGGAGTGAGTGAGGAACAGCCTGTCCCGGGTGCTGGAGATTCATCCCTGCTAAGGGAATGGGGGCAGGAGCAGGCCAGGAGGATGAGGACTCTGAGCTGAGCCACTGGCAGCCAGGAGGGGTGACCCAGTGTCTCTGCAGCAGGTCCATGGGCACTGTGTGTGCCAGCACAACACGGCCGGTCCCCACTGCGAGCGCTGCGCCGACCTCTACAACGCCCGGCCCTGGGCACCCGCCGAGGACCACGATCCCCACGAGTGCCAGAGTATGTTCCAGGCCTTTCCCTCTCTTAAATCCACCCCAGCCTTGAGCAGGAGCGAGCTCTGAGACTTTCTCCTGGGATGCTTCGTGGGGCTGGATGGTAACAGGGCTGCCCCTGGCAGGTTGGCACGCCGGGCTTTGCTCCGGGCGATGCCGCTCAGGGGCTGCACCAGTGCTCAGGCACTGGTGCCACTTTGATGCTGGGCTGGTTAACGGGTGTCACCGTGTCACACAGGAGCCTCGGGCACCCTCTAGTGCCGCAGCTGCTGCTGCTGGAGGGGTTTACACGGTGACAGCTCCAACTCCTTGGGGTTTTTTTCAAGGGTGCGACTGCAATGGTCACTCGGCCTCGTGCCACTTCGACCCCGAGCTGTACCGGGCCACTGGAGGGGCCAGCGGGGGGGTGTGTGACGACTGCCAGCACAACACTGAAGGCAACAACTGTGAGCGCTGCAAACCCAACTATTTCCGCAACCAGCAGCAGGATCTCACCCACCCTGAAGCCTGTCTGCGTGAGTGCACAGTTACACCCTCTAGCCCCCCTACAGCCACCTCCCCAGCCCCCTGTCACCCCTCAACTGTGATGTGTCCACCTTCTCCAGCCCCCTGTCATCCCTCAGCTGTGATGTTTCCTCCCCTTTCCCAGCCTGTGAGTGTGACCCCGATGGCACCGTGCCGGGCTCTGCCTGTGACCCGCTGACAGGGCGCTGTGTCTGCAAGGAGAACGTGCAGGGGGATCGCTGCCACCTCTGCAAACCAGGCTTCACCCAGCTGGCCAACCCCAACCCCTTGGGGTGCCGCAGTGAGTACCCCCTGAGACACCTCCTGCCTCCCGGGGTGCTCCCACTCCACCTCTGCGCCCTCAGTGGCTCTGAAAGGCACCAGAGTCCTGCCCAGCTTTGGTTTGGGGTTTTCAAGCCAAAGCCCCGTTTTGCAAAGGTTTATAAAACCTCCTTGCTCAAGCTGTGACCTGTCTTAGGTGTAAATGTGGCAAAAAGCATGGGGAAAGTGGAGTTTGGGGGGCGTGTTCAGCTGTATCCTGAGCACCTCCCTGGCCGTGCAGGGCTCAGGGAGCTGCAGGGGATGCGGGAGATGATACCATGTAGGGGTGCATGCAGCAGGAGGGGGCTGTGGGTCAGGTCAGTGCTGGGTGTCCTGCTGGGCTGGGGGTATGCTGAGCCCACTCAGGGTCCAATTCCTGCTGCAGCACTTGAAGGGTGATGTTAGGGCAGGGGTGCAGGTCTCTTGAGCTCAGGTATGAAGGGGGAGAGGGGAGAGCTCACCTCTGGGTGAGCCCGACTTCATGGGAAGCCAGGCTAGCGCTCTGCACCCATTTTTCACAACCCCCTCCTTGTTTCAGGATGCACCTGCAACGCTCTGGGAACACGGCAGGACGTGCCCTGTGATGATGAGACCGGGAGGTGCTTCTGTTTGCCCAACGTGGTGGGCAACGACTGCGACCAGTGCGCGGCCGAGCACTGGGACATGGGCAGCGGGCAGGGCTGCCGGCCCTGTGACTGCCACCCCCGCGGCTCCCACAGCCCCCACTGCAACCAGGTACCCCCCTGCCCACCCTGAGGGCTGGCTCCACTGCCTTCAGCAGTATTTCTTTCTCATTTCCCTGAGCTTGCTCTCTTTCTCCTTCTCCCAACCCCACAAATGCTGCTGTGAGGGGCTGCCCTGGCCGATGGCTCCATGTCCCTGCTGGGCAGCACCACACTGGGGATGTCTCAGAGCATCAAACTCATCTGTTGGGTGGCTCCTTTGTCCCATCCCATCCGTGGGAGCCTTCACAAAAAGCACTGTGCATCCCACCCTTATTTTCCTTTTCCCCTTTCCTAGAAAACACATGACAGACTACTCAGGAAAATGAAAGAAGGTGGTAATTATCAAGGCAAGATTAAGTCATTTTAACAAGCCTGATATTTAGCAAGGAAGTCCTAATAAGACAGCTTCATACAGGCAAGGGAAGTTAATTATCCTCATTTGTCAATGTGTGTCACTTCAGGCTTAAGAGGCAACTGGGAAAATTAAAGTCAAATGTAAAAAAAACCCAAGCACATGACAAATTCTAAGAGCCAAAGATAGGTCCCAAACAAGCTCAGTGAGGGGAGGAGACCTGAGACGGCAAAGCAGCTGCTTGTGGGCGATTGCTTTGTTTCTGAAACAAAGCTTAACACTCTCCTTGCAGTGCTTGGGCTGTTTGGAGCCTGTTTGCACCCCCGGGGCTGAGCCTGCAGCCTGACACAAGCAGTATGGCTATGCCCTGGGGCACAGGCTGAGTGGAGAAGGTGGTCCATGAGCTGGTTTTAGTGGTGAAGAGCAGCTGAGGGAGAGTTTTCCCTGGAGGGATGGGTGTCCCTGATGTGTCTCTGTCCTCAGTTCTCAGGGCAGTGTCCGTGCAGAGAAGGGTTCACAGGACGGACGTGCTCGGCCATGCAGGAGCAGCTGTGCCCAGACAGGCACTACAGAGACGCCCGGGGGGGCTGCACAGGTAGAGACCACCTGTTTTGGTTTGGCTCCATGTTTTCTTGCACTGGGAAATCATGGATTATCTGGGAAAAAGAGCACCTAGCCTATATCCTGACATCCACGTTCCCATGCTGTTTTGCAAGAGAGGTTTTGCTCTCTGGAACAGCCTCCTGGTTCACCCTCATCTCCAGGTATCCACCAGTCCCCTCCCAGCAGCCCTGGGTGAGCTCCTGGACCACTCTGGTCTGGCCCTGCAGGGTCAAGGGCTGGGGAAGCTCCTGGACTTGGGTGCTCCTTCCATTCCCCTGCCACTTTTGTCCCAGATGCCGCAGGAGCTGACGGGCGGGCACGGACGTCAGGCTGGGTTGGCACCCCATTGACAGGGGCTGGTTTTGTATCAATACAACTTTTTCACCACGTTCAGGGGGGAAACTTCACCTCTCCGCTTCTCCATCCCCCAGAGTGCGACTGCGACTTCCAGGGCACGGAGAGGGCGGGCTGTGACAAGGCCACGGGGCAGTGCCTCTGCCGCCCGGGGGTCACCGGCCACCGCTGCGACCAGTGCCAGCGGGGCCACTGCAGCACCTACCCCGAGTGCCAGCTGTGCCACCCCTGCTTCCAGACCCACGACGGGGACATCCAGCGCCTGCGCCTGCGCCAGGCCGGGCTCGGCAACTCCACCTCCCGGCTGCCCGTCGGGAGCGGGGGGTCCCACCTCGGCCCCCGCCTCGCCCAGGCCGAGGGGAACGTGCAGCAGGCACAGGGAATCCTTGGCCACTCCTCTGTGACAGAGCAGGGCCTGGCCCAGGTGGGCAACACGCTGGCTGCCGTCAGGTGAGGGGCGGTGTCTGCATCCCTGACCCGTCCTCCTTAGCCAGGAGGAGATGCTGGCATTTTTCTCTCTTCTCTTGCCACCCTGAGCCGCTTGCACGTGTCCTGCTTTGGTTTCCTGCACCTGAAATACCCTGCTCTGCTCACGAGGTGAGCGGGGATGCGGGAGAACAGCCCTGCCACGTGTGCCTGTCCTGTGCAGCATGCCACCAAGGCAGGAGGCTGGTGGGTGGGCAGGCTGTGGGTGGTTGGCATTCCCAGGGCACAGCCAGCATGCCTGGTCCCTGCATGGGCATGACTCTGGTGTGGGGCAGCTGCAGCCCAGCCCTGCTCTCTGCCACCTTTGGCGTGTCCTTGGCCGTGTCTGGGCTCAGAAATGCCACTTGGCAGTGCCCCAGCACAGATGGCCCTGCTCAGCCCTTCTCTCTGTCTGCAGGTGCTTTGCCCTCCACTTGAACTCACATTTTCTGCTTTTTCTCCCTCCCAGAGAGCAGCTGCGAGGCATCAATCCTGACTTTCGTTTTCTGGATGACACCGCCTCCCTCTCGAGGGAGCTGGAAGCCCTCAACAGCAGCTTGCTGCTCACTAACTCCCAGTATCAGAGCAAGAAGACCCAGTTTGAAACCAGCCTCAGCACAGACCTGTCAGGTACAGATCTGCAGCTTTAATACCTCTTAATTTGCAGCTATTAATCTACCTCAACGTGACTGTGCCTGGTGGTTTCCCACCGGCCATGTGAACGAGTAATGGAGTTTTTAACTGGCTGTCAGCTTTGGAGCAGCACATAGATCTCCCTCCACCCAGCCTCTGGTCCATGACCTGGGATTTCACACTACTGGGGTGTTTGCTCCAGTCTTTTGAGGCTGGGCAGCTCACTCTGTGTCCATGCTCTTCACCAGCACAAGCTGCACTGCTGGGGAGCAGTGGGAAGAGGTGGGGACCCTGCTGGGAGAGCATCCCCACACCCGTGAGGCAGCTGATAATGAGGGTTGTGCACAGATGGAAGGGATGGAGGGGTGGGGAGGAGAGCCAGGCGGCTGTCAGGCACTTGGGAGAAGAGCTAATTAAGGCCTGTGGCGATGCTGGGTTTGGCTGCCGTGAGATTCTGCTACAGCCCCTGCTCTCCAAGGGTCTCATTCCTGTCCCCTCCACTCTCAGCTGGCTGAGGATGTGCCAGCTCTGGTGAGTGGCCACTGCTGGAACAGGTCCACTCTGCACCTCCCCATCCATGCAGGGCTCAGAGCTCCATGTTCTGACCACCATCCTTCCAGGAATGGTGGGGCTGCTCAGGAACCAGAGAAAAGGCTCTGAAAACTGTCCTGCCCCCGCCAAAGCCCCGGGTCAGCACGTGCACGTCATCTTGCTTCAGTTTTCTTTTAATCTTTCAAGTCCAGCTCGCAGTTCAGCCCTTCAGGAGACCTCTGGCTCACCGGAGGAACGGCTGAAAGGCATTTGGAAATTAAAGCAGCTTTTTGGTGGTGCCTTGGTGACTAATCACTCCGGCTGCATCCCGCTCCTCCCCGCACACATCCACTCGCAGGGGAGAGCCAGCGCCTTCCCCGAGGTAGCTGTGCTGCATTTATGAGTCACTTTGTGTCATTTTGGGCTCTGATTCCTGCAGGAGCCTTCAAGACCATCCGATCTGCTTACCAGACCTCCAGCAATGCCAGCAGACTGGTCACCAGTGCCTCTGGGCTGCTGGCTGAGGCCCGGGAGAGCCGCAGGAGCGCCGAGGGGCTGGAGGGGGGGCTTGAAGGGACCACCTCCAGGCTGCTGACCCTGCAGGGAGAGATGGCCTCATCCCCCAACCTGACCCCTGTCATAAACAAGGTAAAAGATGCAAAGTGGTTTTCCGACCTCCCAGCTGCGTTTACCTGGTTTTCAGAGGGCCTGGGAGTGCTCAGGAGGCCAAAACCTCATCCTGCAGTTGTGTGTCTTTCCTCAAACAGTCCAGCAGGGCAGGGCAGAGTCAGAAATGGCATCAAAGCAACCTGCTGCTGTGGGCATCAGTGGAGAATTGGCTGAGCATCCCCTGCCTGGGGATCATTGATACCAAAATATTGCCCACCACCCCCTCCCAACCATGTGTTTTTTTTCTCCAGGGACTCTCTCATGTGTCAGTTCTTGTATCTCAAAGACCCACTTAATTTCTGGATGAGGTCTCTCTTATTTCTCCTTCACTGCTTTGTTATTGCCATGGAGATCCATTTCCACGTCTCCTAATGCATGGTTGCTGTGGAGACCACCAGCCTCCCCTCTCTGCTTTTCAGGCCACCAACACATTCCTGAGCCACCAGTCTGGCTCTGGGTCTGCCCGTGCCTCTGCTGCAGTGTGGTTTTTTTTGGGGGGTAACTCTAGAAGGTGCCATGCAATTAAAACTACTGATGTCCAGGCAGGAGGGCTGGGGCTTCTCATCCAGTTCTCTCTCCCAAAGCAAACTGTGCAGGTGGGACAGTGTGTTTTGCTGAGGTGTTTGCTCCATGCAGACCTGCTCTGTTACTCCTTGTGAGCCACTGGGGTTTAACTCCTGCTTTGCTCCTACTCCTGCTCCAGTTTGGGGCAGGGAGGAGATGCTGAGCTGGCGTTGCTGGCTCAGGTGTGGGCATTTAGCACTGCTGTGCATGTGTGTAGTTCTGTCAAACCTTTGGCCCCTGTGATGTGCTGGGTGGCCCCTGTGATGTGCTGGGTTCCCCCTCTGAGGGCACTGGGATCCCTCCTAGCCAGGTGGGATCCCTCCTGCCCAGCTGGGATCCCTCCTGCCCAGGTGGGATCCCTCCTGCCCGGCTGTTCTCCCCTCCCCAGGTTTGTGGTGGGTTCCGAGTGCAGACCTGCACACCCACTCACTGCGAGGGGCTGCTCTGCCCACGGGACAACAGCTCTGCCTGCAGACCTGGCCAGCCCTGCCATGGCATCTTCCCTCTGGCCAGTGGGGCCCTGGCTGCAGCTGGGGAAGCATCCAGGGAATTCGGCAGCCTGAGCACCCGGCTCCGCGAGACGGCACAGCTGGTGAGTGTGGGCAGCACTGCCTGTCCCTCTGCTCGGACCCTTGGTGGGGAACAGCTGTGGAGAGAGTGACAAAAACCCCACATCAAACTCTATTTGAGGCTTGATCCCTTGGGCAGCTTCAGAAATTCAGGAATTTTTGAGCAGGAGGCTCCCTGCTGCACACGTGGGTCCTGCCTCCCCCAGCGCAGAAGCCACAGACCTGAAGGTGTGAGAGGCTCTGGAAACGTCCCAAGGAAGCCTGTCTTCCTCCTGGTTTGGGATTAGTGTGGAAAAAGGGGTGGGAATGTGGAAAACTGATTCTGCAGGTGTATCTGCTCCAGCATTTGGTGCTCTCTGCTAGAGTTCATGTGTTAAGTGCTCTCGCAGCTTCTTTTCTGTGGCTTGCAAAGATAAAGTGAGTTTTCAAAGTCATTCAAAATCCATTTCAAACGTGTGTTTTAAAAGCTAGATCGTGCTGTTCCTCTTTGAGAGCTTCCTTTGCAAGTCCAACCCTCAGTCTGAAACATTTCCAGTCCCTTAGAAGCTCCGGCACATTAAGAACACGGAACAGCGTCATTTCCAAGTGCCTTTCTCAGTTCACTCGGAGTCGAGGCAGGGCTGTGGGGGACCCAGGTCAAGAAGAAGTGGCTCCATCAGGCCATTGTTGTTGTTGTTGTTTGCAGATTAAAACAACAGAGATGTCTGCAAGCCAGATCCAGAGCAACGCTCGGCGCCTGGTGGAGCAGCTGGGTGTGACCAGGACCCAGATGGAAGGGGACGTGCGGCGCATCCGGCAGTTCATCCAGAGGGTTCGAGACTTCTTGTCAGGTAGCTCTGCCACCTGTAAAGCCTGGGGGATCTGAGGGGGGCTGGATGGGTGTTGGTTTGTTCATGGAGAACACTAGTTCTTAGAGTTATGGTGGAATCACAGAGTCATTAAGGTGGGAAAAGACCTCCAAGAGCTGATCCCCACCTTGTCATCCAGGCCTTCCTTGGACAGCTCCAGGGATGGGGAGCCACCACCTCCTTGGGCAGCTCCTTCCAGGGCCTGACCACTTTTTCCATGATGACAATTCCTCGCTGCCCTCTCCTGGTACAGCTTGAGGCCGTTTCCTCTCCTCCTGTCCCTTGTTCCCTGGGAGCAGAGCCCAAGCCCCCCCAGGTTCCCCCCTCCTGTCAGGGAGTTGCATTGAGTGAGAAGGTCCCCCCTGAGCCTCCTTTTCTCCAGGCTGAGCCCCCCCAGCTCCCTCAGCTGCTCCTCATAGGACTGACTGTCCAGACCCTTCCCCAGCTCCCTTCCCTTCTCTGGACACGCTCCAGCCCCTCCATGCCTTTCTTGCAGTGATGGGCCTGGAACTGGACACAGGATTTGAGGTGTGAGCACAGGGGGACAATCACTGCCCTGCTGGTACTCTGTATGAGAGCACATAGGAGAGGGAAGCAGCTGGTTGGCTCAACCCAGTTAAGCTCTTGGATATCCAGTTTATCTGGGTATTTACATAGCAAAGGTAACACACACGTCCTCTGAGGCAGCAAGGTTGGCTGGGACGGTGTTTTCTGCAAACAGAGAAATTGCAGCAGTACCCAAAGGCTGTGACTTCACCAGCAGTTGTAATTTGGCCCATTGACTTGCTCAGGCTCAACCCTGCTGTTCAGATGAAGGTCAGACAATCCCAGCTCTTATCTGTGTCGATTTGCTGGGCTGTCACCCTGCCTGCTTCCTTACAGAGGCATTTGGGGACCACCTGTGGGGTCCATGGGGCAGGAGATACCACACAGCCTTGACCTGCTGTGAGTGGGGCTTCAGGGAGAGGCTTCCAACATCCTCACAGGAACTGCTCTCAAATATCACCTCTGGAAAGGTGACCTGTGAGTTGGCAGAAGTGGAAAGCCGTGGAGGAGATGGCATTTTCTTTGTAGCACAGACAGCAGCTCCCTCTGAGTGCTGCTCTGTGCCATCTCTGGGGCTGGAAGACAAACCTGTCCCCATGGCTGGTGTTGTCTGAGGATCTGCAGCCAGCAGTGACCCAATGCAGAGATGTTTTCTGGCCACACTCACTTACCAGACAGACAGCTGACCCTTCTCTGGAGGAGACTGTTAATCAGATGAGGATTCCTTGTTGTCCTACAAACCGATGGGATGACTTATTGTTTGCAGACAGATTGTAATAACATAATGAGCCTCATGAGCATTAGCTGAATAAGAAAATCAGGTCATTTGGTGCTGCCTGGGGTTAATGATGAGTGAAGATATTTCTGAGCTAATCGCTGGGCTAATGTCCCTTGGGCTCTGCCTGCTTCTGATGCATTAACTTTTATTTGTGAAGTAAAAAAGGCTTGTCTTGAAACACACCCTCATCTGCTCAGTGAGATCTGCCTGACTGTGCTCTGGGTTTAGCCATGGTGTTCTCGTTGCCAAATTAAAGGTATCACTGCAGTCCTTTCCTGAAGGTTTCACTGGTGTGAATGAGAAGTACGTTGGATTCCAGGAGATGATTCCAGGGTGGATGGTGGCAGGGTCTGAAATGAGGAGGCTGTGTGTGTGAGAGCGTGCACGGCCACATGTCTGCCCTCCTCCTGCCTTGCATTTGCATTCCCACTTTCTCCTCTCCCATTCCTGATGGGGGCTGTCTGTCTGCTCTGCAGACAAGGACACGGATCCTGCTGCTATCCAGGAAATCAGTGAGTCAGTTCTCTCCCTGCGTCTCCCCACGGATGCTGCTGCAGTCCTGAGAAAAATGACCGAGATCCAGAAGTTGGCCACTCAGCTGCAGTGCCCCGAGGACATCCTTGCCCAGACAGCTGAGGACATTGCCAAGGCCAAGCAGCTTCAGCAGGAGGCAGAACAGGCCAGGTGGGTTGGGGTTCAAGGGCCTTTGGCAGCTGAGGGTCACTCAGCTGGAGTGAACGTGGTGGTTCTCAGCTGGGTTGAAATCCCACTCTGCCTGAGCTGTACTGACTTGCACAATCTGAAGTTTTAGGCCTTGGTATTCTGTGTCCATGCAGAGCCTAAAAGAATGAGTCTGCAATCTCTAGACACCTCCCTGGAGTCCTGGTGCAAATAAATCTGGCTGCCAAGAATAGATCCTGTTGTAGATAGCAGAACGAGAAGGGTTTTATCCAAAGTAATGGAGGCTTTTCTCTTATCTCTATGCTGGGAGATGACAGGGTTACCCTGGTGTTCCTTGATATTGGTGACCTACATCCTAATTGCACAAGAGAGCACGAGGAGATTAAATGGGCTATTTGTTTTCTGGGTGAAAGTTGGGAGGATTATTCCATGGTCCCTTAAAAAGTAATTACAGAGTGTCCTTGCAAATTTGGAGCATCTGCTTTGTCACGTGTTGACTTGCAGCAATATCCCAGCGAGAAGGTTAATGGGATGAGTCTGTAAACTCCTTGACAGTGTCTGACACCTGCTTAACCTGCTGGAAGTGATGAGACAGGGGAGTCTGGTTTTCTATGGAGAGCTCTGCCACCCATCCTGAACAGTCCCACTGCAGAGCAGAAAAGGATTCACTGAAGCTGGTTCAGTGGTTATTACTTTCCCTTCGATACTTTTTCATGCACCACCTACTAAATAAATGTTTCTGACCAGCTTGAAGGAAGGGGTTTCTCTCCCCTTCTCAGTTTGTCTCCTCTGTCCTGGGGCTGTGAAGTGGAACTAAGGCTCCTCTAAGGGGAAACCTGCAGGAGTCCAGACGTGTGGCTTCGTGGCTTTTGGGGGAGGGAGATTACAACCTTCTCAGTAGCAATCCTGTCTTGCTTCTCAAGCTTCCTCATTTTACCTCTGCATTCCTGAGCTGCAGTTACCTACACTCAGCCCCTGCTCTTCCCACATTTCCCCAGGAACCGGGCAAATGCTGTGGAGGGCAGCGTGGAGGAGGTGGTGGGGAACCTGCAGCAGGCAAACACGATGCTCCTGGAGGCCCAGGGAGCCATCAGGGGCTCCGGCTCTTCCCTTCGCTTCATCCGGGAGCGCGTTGATGAGGTAAGTGATGCCTCCCAGTAACGCTCCCGTGCCCTGCTCACCCCTCCTTTGGAACTGGAGAGTCCTTGTAGAGGCCACTTTTAAGAGTCCTGAGCCAGAGCAGCAGGGAAGTGGGATCTGGGGAAGCTTTGGCTGTGAAAGTGTGCCTCGCTGGTGTGCTTCTCCAGACTCCAGTCGTGGTCCCTGCTGGATTCTTGGCTGCACAGGGAGCACAGCACAGATGGAATGCAAGGCCTGGTTCGTGCTTCCACTGTCGCCATTCCAAGACAGAGCCAGGCAAGGGGTTTAAGGTTCACTGTAGGTGACCTGAAGTGGAGCCAAATTCACCAGAGCCATCCAGCACCAACCCTTGTGTGGACAGAAATCTCCTGGGAACCCCACAGTTCGAACCAGCGAACCTCCACGGCTGCGCTGTGCCCGTCACAGAGGAAAAACCCACGAGGAGCAGGGGCTGAAAGTGGCTTCCTTGTTACCTTCCAGATCGAGGCAGTCCTCGGCCCAGCCCAGAAGAACGTGGCTGCCATCGGGGCGCAGCTGGACGGGCTGGGGGAGCGGCTGGAGCGGCTGCAGCGCGGGGCCGACCAGAACCGCCTGCGCGCCACGGACACGCGGGACACGGCCGAGACAGCGGGGCAGCAGGCCAGGAGTGCCCAGCAGGTACCACCCCGGGGCTGCCACAGCTGTGCTCCCCTCCCCAGCCAGCCCAGCCAGCTGTGGCTCTGCACAAGATGATGCTCAGGTCACTGCTTGTGTGCTGGGGCGCCGCTTCTTGTTAATCAGCTGCGGTGTCGGTCCCACTGCTGAGTTTTTCCGGGAGCTTTCCCAATCCTGATGCCCTTTGCTGGAAACTTATTTCTGCTGTATGCCCTGCCTGAGGCAGAGCAGCTTGTTGAGCTGTCAGTCAGCCTTTGAGTGCGTCACGAATGGAGATTTTTGGAGCCTGTGGTAGATCTGACTTAACGTTCGTCTCTTCTGTTCATACAATCTCATCAGTAGAGGCTGTGACACGTTTGCACGATATCAGGGACAAAGCCCCAGTGTAGTATCCATTTAACATTTCAACAAGATTGAAGACTGGAAAAACCCTTTCTCCACAGTCTGAGTGATCCTGCTTGCACTGTTTATTTGCTTTTCCACAGGCTTTTGAACAAGTGAAGCAAATGTACTCTGAGCTGAAGAGCAGGATGGAGCAGAGCCCAGCACTGGGAGAGCAGGGCAGCAGAGTGCAGAGCATAGGCCAGGAGGCACGGGCTCTGTTTGAGGAAACCTTGGGCATCATGCTCAGGATGGAAAGTAAGACTTCTGAACTCCAAGTAACAATCTCATGCACTGGGGAAGAGCTCTTGGACTCCCATGGTGTGAGGGAAAGACATTATGAGGAGGGCAACGTACTTTTGGCAGTGAGATGGTGGGATTTGGGCTGTATCTGATGGTGCTGTGCCCTTAAATTTGGAATTTTCCAGGGGGGCACCATGGAAGGGGAATCCCTGCCTGCAGTGCCAGTGTGGCTCCATTTTCCTTCACACACTCACTTCCCTTTTTAAGCCTTCCAAACTGACAGCTTTGTTGGGAGCAATCATGTTGTGGGGTTGTTTGGAGGGAGAGAAGAGGGGAATGCAGGATGTTGGTTTTTCTCACCCCAGCGGAGCTGTGCAGGAGGGAGCCCAACCACCATCACATAACCCTTCCCTGCTCTCTCTCCTCAGCTTTAGAGACAGAAATCCAGGACAGCAACAAGGCTTTGATGTCCAAGTGGTCCAGGCTGTCGGGGCTGGAGGACCAGGTGACAAAGATCCGAAATGCCATCAAAAAGAAAGTCTCATACTACGATAGCTGCTCCTGAGAGAGCCACCACACCCCAGAGGCACTGCCTGCCTCCTCTGCAGACACTGACTGCTCTATTTATTCCCATTTTCCGGCTCAGTATCTCTATTTTTAGCAAATTAAGTTTCTGTACCTCTGGAAAAGAGCTGCACTGAACCAAAGGAGCAACCCCATGGAGAAGGTTGGATTGGCTGAAGCTGCCCAGTGGTTGGAGGAAAAAAGGGGGAGAGACATCAGTCTCCTGTGACAAATAAAAACATCCCCAAGTGGTTATTTCCAGATGGGTTTATAAACCAAGCAATGTTTTTTCTTGTTTTAGCCAGTTCAAGCTCTTTAGGCTGAATGTCACTGTTCAAATTAAAACTGCCATGTGGGGTCTTTTTAAAGCATGTTTTTCCTTTTAATCCTTCAAACTTGCCATGGCTCCAGCGCTTCCATCAGAGATCTTTCTTCAAATAACCAGATTGCAAAAATGGAGAATTTTATCTCCCTCTGCACAACTCAAACTGCCTTGCTCGATTTTCTGTCACAATCTGCCCATGTTGTAACACTTTGCCAGAAAACACCAGCGGGAGCAGGTCTGTGGATACACAGGGAATGCTTTAGCAGGGACTTGACAGACCATTTCCACATCAGGTTTCTATGAACGACCAAGAGGCACTTTACAAAACAAAACTCAGCTTTATTAAGCAAGTATTTATTGTGCAATTACAGGCTCACAAGCAGGGGATTCAGACCTTGCTGTGTTATGATCAGACACGTGGAGGTTTCTAGCAGGTTGTCTCTCCTTTTGTAGCTGCGGTGGGAGCTGAGCAGCCTGAGTGGGCAGCTGGGGGATGCTGAACTCCAGAGTGCCAAAGCCTGGGGCTAACCAAACCCCAAGGAGTGGAGAGGGTGAGGACTGTAAAAATAACTGACCTGCCACTGGGTAAAGCTCTGCATGGCTTTGGTTTGGAGGGTTGGTGTTGTGCAGTGCACTTCTGCCTTGGACAACTAAACAGGAAAACAAAAGCCTGTAGCATGAGCGATGCCATATGGATAATATACACTGGATATGCCAGCAGGACCCTGAGCCTTTCCTTTGCCTTCTCCCAGCTCTTAATGATCCAGAAACACCCCGAGGTCACTGCAGTGATGGATTCCTGGGACTCATGTGCTGCTGTCCCCAGCTGGTCACTGCTTTGTGAGAGCTACTGGTGGGACACAGCCTCCTTTCTTGCTTGCACTGGTGATGTCTGGCTTTGAAGTGCAGAAAAGAGTAAAACAGCCCTTCTGTTTCTGCAAGAGAGAGAGAATCTCAGTTGAGGATTGAACTTTGTTTCACTGGACTGCTGCCTGCAGAACGTGCTGTTAATGAGCAGTAGCACAGGGGTTGGGAGCAGCTTAGATCCCTTTGTGTGCTCAGTTATAAAGGGTTGTTACACGACTGATCACTGGAATGAACCTTCTTGGAGCCTCTAGTGGATCTGACATGCGTTTGTCTCTGCTGTTAATCCTTTGTACCTTGCAGTCCACACGATCTCATCAGCAGAGACTGTCACAGGAGATGAGAAGGGAGAGCTCACTTGATGTAGCTTTTGAGGAGAGCTCTGCCAGCAGGTGCTCACCTTTGGGGAACATTCTTTAGTGCAGGATCTAATAGCAGTGCTTCTTACTGCTCACATACAATGTGATAACAGAATTTATCCAAGCTATGGTTAAACAGGATGAAACATTCATTATTTTACACTGCTCGCCTACAAATTGAGCATTTCCATGCTCTGCTCTCTGCTGACAAAGACACTTAGACCTGCCTGGACGAAATCTGGGAAAGGGAACGGCCCTTCAGGCCACAGAGACATCCTGCCTGTGACCAGCCCTGGACCAGCAGCCTCTTATCAGCCCTTTGCTCATGGTCACAACTGAAAAACCCTGATCCCAGCTGCCAGAGCTGTTTGGATCACTGTGTTTCCCAGTGAGTAGCTTGGAATAATTGTAGAGTTTGATATGACAAGCCCATGCTTGGCTTCCTCTGCCATGTTCCTGGGCAACCCTGTTGTAATGCAGGAGTTGGATTCAGAGTCACTGGACTGGCCTTAATGGAAGCTGAGAGATGACTCATTCCTTGAAAGGTGCTTTAGTGAAAGGCTTTTTCTGTTGCAAAAAAAAAAACCCGGTGAGTTCATTGATTTCATGTACAATCACTTTGCTATTTGTGCCTTTCCCTTTTTCATGCCCTAATGGGATTAATTAAAAGCAGCGGGTGATTGGATTGCAGAGCACTTACCACTGGTGATGTGGAGAGCCCAGCAGCTGCCTCCATCACATGATCAAACAAACTCCAGTTTGCCCAGTGCCACAGTGAGAGGAGTGTTTACTGGTCTTCATTGGAACAAGAACTTCTGTTTTGAAATGACTGGTTGGGAATGGAACAATTGGAACAGAAAGAGGAAAAGAGATAAACAGCAACATTTACAATCATTCTGGAGGGGAATTGAAATTGTGTTGTTAATATACAGGACATCAGTGCCAGGAACAGAGAGTGGAGTCACTGCAGGGTCTGGTCACTCAGCACCAGCCCAGTAAGTGGCACCAGCAGCTTTAATCACTGGGCATTTCGGTTTCTGGAGGACAAATGTGCTCCAGTCCATGGTGTGAGGCAGCAGAGCCTTGGCTCAGAGCGAGCTGTGCCCCACAGCCCTGGCACCTGCCTCACCCCCTGCTCATACACACACAGAAGGCTGGGCACAGCTTCCAGCCAGCCAAAGCATTTGCTTGTTCCTCCCTTTCTACCTCCACCTGGCAACCCACGTGCCAGGCCACCCCTTCCAAGGGGCGACTATTCCCGTGTCATTTGTTGGAAGTTCTGTCTAAGGGCTTGGATACCTACTGGGACTTGGAAGGTTTCTTAAGCAGCACTGGCTCGGAGCAGAAGGATGCCTTTGTCTTCTCGTGCCCCACGCAGGCTGGGCTGCAGCCACAGGAGGTCCTGCTGGGAGGGCTGTGGTTGTTGTCGGGCAGGACCAGGCTGCTGCCCGCGGGCAGCGCTCCCTTCTCCGGGGGGCTTTCCAGCTCCTCCTCTCCCGCTCCCGTGCCTTCCTCCGGCTGAGCAGGAGGGTTTGCACAGCCCTGCGTGGGGACCTGAGGCAGTGGTGTGTCCTTGTCTTCACCTGGAGCTGCTGGCTGGGTGGCCACCAAGGGCGTGCTGGGCGTGGGGGCCGGCGTGACGGGGCCGGGGCTCTCGGCCGCCGCGTGGCCGTTCATGTGGAGCTTCCTCATGTGGTGCACGACGGCTGCAGCGTTGAAGGCTTGCTGGGGAAGGAGGCAAAACCACCCTGGTGAGCCCCTGATGGTGCCAGGCTGGGTGAGACAGACAGATTGCCCACCCCGAGGTGATGATTGTGTGGCACTGGGTGGGTCAGCGCTGTCAGCACAACGTGTGGCAAGTGGGACGTGCATAAACACCACCTTTTTTTTTCCACAAACTGCTGATGCTTTCAGAGTTTACAACTGCTTCCACACAGGGAGGGTGGGGGAACAGCTGTAAATTACCCCGCAGTGTGAAATGGAGACCGGAGCTGAATTGTGACTGTAGCTGTTTAAAATGCTGTCATGCACATGGTGCCTGTGACATCCCTCTCTCCAGCTACATTGGCTAAAACTCTTGATGTAAACTGAAGTACCAATTTATCTTCAAGGCTGAAAGGAGGGAAAGCTGAATTAAGCTGCCAAAAAGATCTGCTGATGGAGCACCAATTTCACTCCCTCAGTATAAAGGCAATAAGTGAGGGGACAAGGAGTAATGGGCTCAAATTGAAAGAGGGTGAATTTAGGTTAGACATTGGGAAGGAATTCTTCCCTGTGAGGGTGGGGAGGCCCTGGCACAGGTTGCCCATAGAAGCTGTGGCTGCCCCATCCCTGGAAGTGTCCAAGGCCAGGTTGGACAGGGCTTGGAGCAGCCTGGGCTAGTGGAAGGTGTCCCTGCCCATGGCAGGGAGTGGAACAAGATGACTTTTAAGTTCCCTTCCAACCCAAACCATTCTATGATTTTATGATGCTCCCCTTTGCTTTCTTGGTGAGGCCACTACAGCATGAATGTTTGTGGTGAACCCACCAGCACTTTTTGCAGCAGGAAGTACTGCTCCAAACACCCAATAAACAATAACTGCACACAATTTAAAATCTGGAGGATACAGTTGTGGAGGATCCCAGCTCTTGGGTGCTTACCCACACAGCTGAAGCTTTGCTTATTGCTGCACGACAGCAACTGGGGTTTGTTAGGGAAATGGCTCTGGGCTCCCAGCAGCAATGACTTACCCTCCATTTGCTCTTTGCAAAGTTTTTCTGAATCTGAGCACTGACAGATGGGTAGATGTCACGGTGAAGGGCTGTATTTCCATTAATCCTGCAGATGGGGAGAGAAGAAAACGGGCTCGTAGGCAGATGGCATTTGTAAGGCATTCCACACTCTGGAAGCAACTCACTGCTTTGTACGTTCAATCAGCAATAATTAAACCCAAAGGAAAAACAGCAACAGAAATGCAGTGCAAACACACACTTCAAAGCCTGGAAGAGCTCAGGGTGGGATTTCGTCTTTGCCGCTGTTTACGGAGGCAAATATGCACAAATCACATCTTTTAATTATTCATCATTTTCTTTCTTTGCACACACGAAAAAGGAACACCCAGGGCCGTGTGGAGGCAGATGGTGACGTTAATAATGGGGGTGGGGAGACACCCCTGTTCTCAGCTTCTGTGGAGCACGTGGAGGGGGGCACGGGGCTGGTGGATCCACTCACCATGGGTGCCTCAGGGCTTCTTCACAGGTAAACCTCACAGCTGGGTTCTTCTCCAGCAAATGTCTGATGAAATCCTTGGCTGTTGGGGAGAAAAAAGCAGAGGGAAAAGGTTATTTTGTCCTTCTTCCAAGGCGTGGTCCTAATGGGATGTGGGAAATGTGGTGGGTAAACGTCACAGAGGTCAGCCCTGAGGAGAAGGGGTTTGTTGGACCAGGGGAGGTTCAGGTTGGATATAGGGAAAAAATTTCTTCACTGAGAGAGTGGTCAGTATTGGAACAGGCTGTGCAGGGAAGTGGTGGAATCACCATCCCTGGAAGTGTTCAGAAAATGAGTAGATGTGGCACTTTGCAATGTGGTTTAATGGGCATGATGGGATTCAGTCCAAGGTTGGACTTGATGATCTTGGAGGTCTTTTCCGACCTTAACAATTCTATGATAACTCTATTAAAGGGAGATGTTTGTAGTGAAGGGCTCCAGATGAAAAAAATACTAACTAGGGATGCACCAAAAACTCAGAATGTGTGAATTGAGTTGCACTGTTCAGCTAGAAAAAAATAACTCAAAAAGCCATTAAGAGTAAACTGAGTGGATTTAGGAGTTGCCCTAAAGAGCACTTACATCACTTACATTTTTTTTTTTAAGCAGGAAGGATTGCAGTGTTTGTTATTAAATCCTAACAAACCCCCTACTAGTTCTGTTTGTGTGTCTAAAAGATTGATGTTAAAAATATGCTGTGAAGATGCTGGATGTAGTGAGCTGTGCACAAGTTGAGCAGGTTGGTCTGGAGGAAGGACCCAGTGGTAGCTGACACTTGGGAAGGAAAGCAAGGGGGAAAAAAAAATGAAAAAAAGGGGAAAACCCCCCTGGAGTTTCCCTTGTTACAGAATTATAGAATGGTTTGGGTGGGAAGGGACCTTAAAGATCATCTCATTCCACCCCTGCCACGGGCAGGGACACCTTCCACTAGCCCAGGGTGTTCCAAGCCCTGTCCAACCTGGCCTTGGACACTTCCAGGGATGGGGCAGCCACAGCTTCTCTGGGCAACCTGTGCCAGGGCCTCCCCACCCTCACAGGGAAGGATTTCTTCTGGCCTTGAACACTCCCAAGGGAAATCTAAGCTCACTTGGAGCTCACTAATCCACTTGTGAAAGTCAGGGTGACTCAGTTCATCGCTTCATCCTTCCCCACCCCTCCCAAGTCAAGCACAGAATGTTTTGGGGCTGAGTGGGGGCTTGGCTGGTGCAGGCTCATGGTCACAGGGTTTGGGATTGAAGTTTGTGGGAGGGAACACAGAGCTTCCCAGTGCCAGAGCTTTACCTGACTCAGAGATATCATCCCAAAACGGAGACTCAAACTCGTAGTAGCCTTCCTTGATCTTTTCAAACAGTTTGGATTCAGTCTCTTCATAGAAAGGGGGATACCCACAGAGCCTGGAACAGAGCAGAAAGCCAGTGATCCCTCAATGCCACCACCCCCATCAGCACAGGCTCCTCCAGCAACACGAGTGAGGAGTGACAGAGGAGGCTGCTCTATCCATCCACCTGTCCCTCACTGCTGAGTGTATCAGTAAAGCTGCAGAAAGGAGTTAAAAACTTCTCTGCAGCAGCAAGAGGACAAAGCCACAGCTGGTACAGAGCTGAGTGGTGTGGGAGGAAACGAAACAAAAAGTACCAGGGGAGATTGAATGGTATTTGTAGGCAACTGAAAAAAAAAAAAACAAAGCATAGGATGAGGCACATTATGGAGAAAATGTGATTCTTTTCATCTCCACTCCTGTACTTGATTACCCACATGCCTTTCATTTCAGTGCCTGGTGAACCTGTGCTCCACACAGGAATGGGAGGTCCGGCCTCGCCCCCGCTCACGCTGCTGCTCCACAGAGGCGGGTGAGCAGTGAGGAGCTGGGAAACTCATGGAAAAACAAGTGGGATGCTGCTTGCTGCTACTCACAGGATGTAAGTGATGACTCCAATGGACCAGCAGTCCACGGCTTTGCTGTAGGGCTTCTGGGCCAGGACTTCGGGGGCTGCGGAACAGCAAAACCACACGGGAACTCTGAGCAACAATGAACTCTCCAATATTGGGAAAAGCAGGAGTTCCTGGCACACTTGGCCTCTGAGGTGCCAGTGCAGAGATCAGCTGCTAACAGCAGCATTTACCAGCTAAATTGGTCTGTGCTGTTTGTATCTATTTTATGCCATTACGTAGAAAAAACCTTGCACAAGTTCTGCCTGCACCCCGGAGCTGTGGATCCAGGCAGTGCAGTCTGCTGGGCACTTAACAGAATCCCACTGCATTTAAATTATTTTTATAATATCTCCATAAGTATAGAGCTCTTAAAATTATCCTTTTCTTTGCATTTTTAAGCATGCTGAGATTTTTCACTCTCCACGCTCACTTTTAGCCCAGTCTTTGCGTGGTCCATGCAGCGTGTTGTTAGTCACATAATTATGTATTTATTTTTTTCCCCCCCTTTCTTCTAGGCAATGCACTGTTCATGCACAGCCTTTTTCCCCCAGGCAATCCACCAGAACAAGCCCATTCCTGATCCTTGGCTTACCCACATATCCTGGAGTCCCACAGGCCGTGGACATGATGCCGTTCTGCTCCATTTTAGACAAGCCGAAATCCGTGATCATGATTTTGGAGTTCTCTTCGGGAGTCAGGTAAAGAAGGTTTTCAGGCTGTGAAAGAGTGGCCAGAGGTTGAAATCTGTGGCAGGAAAATGGCAAGGGAGAGCAGGAAGTCCTGGGGCAGAGCAGGTAGAGTTGGCAGCCGGGGCAGCTCCAGGAGGTCTCACCTTCAGGTCTCGGTGAACGATTCCATTCTCGTGCAGGTACTTCACTGCTGTCAGCACCTGGTGGATCACCAGACTTGCATCTTTCTCGGTGTAAACACCTCTCTCCAAAATTCGATCAAACAGCTCTCCCCCAGACACCCTGTGGAAAGGGCAATTGAGAAAGAAAATGACTGGAAAAAAAAATTTCACCAAAGTGAATCGTGCTTTTGTGTTAGGCAGGCTGACTTTCTGGACCTTTCACAACTCCACCTACAGCAGAACCATTCCTTGGGCAGCAGTTTTGGTGAGGTTGAGCTGATGGGTGCTCCTGTAAGGAGTGCTGGTGAACCAGGGGAATTTAGGTAAGGTTATGAGGCAAGTCCTGGTAGGACTGAGCCAGAGGCATCCAGCCTTACCTCCAGGCTCCACTACACAAGTCTATATGGCTTTTTTGCTTCCTTTAGCTAAATTTGCTCAGATTTGGGTGCTCACAGCAGTTTCTCTGCCGCTGACACGGTGCCCATATTCATTTCTAGAAACCCTTCACAGCTTTAATTAGAAATACTTCTGTCTCTGCCCTGCTAAACTGTGATGAATTAATTTGCATAAAGAGCTCCAAATCGTGGTTTAGAAAACTTGCTGCTAAAATGAGGGCGGGCCAAGCCAGCAGGAGAAGTGTCCAGGTTGGTTCCAACCGCGCAGTGAGGGGGGTTTGGATGGTCCCTGTGAGGGGCTCCAGTGGGAAATACGATTCATCACCCTGGTCCTGCCACTCTTGTTCCTCTGTGGCCCACAGAGAAGTGGCTCTGCTCATACTTACAGCTGCATGACCAGGTAGAAGTGGGTTGTGCTCTCATAAATATCTTCTAAAGTCACGATGTTTTCGTGCTTTATTCTGCAAAGATACAGGTGGGTCAGAAACAAACCTGGTGAGGGCAGAAGTGGCTTTCGAAGCAGAAAACCCCTCAGTCATCCTGCTTTAATCACCAGTGAAAGTCCACTGGGGTGTTTTCGTGGCTGGTCTCCCTTCCCCTGAGTAGCAGAGGACCATTGATGCCCCTACCAGCTCTTTTATGAGTACCAGGCACCAACAGCTGGGGACCAGACCCTTTGTTTTCAAACATCTACATCAGGAGATTCCCTTGGACTGCAAAAGCATCTGCTCTGGTTCCCCTTTCCCTGTCTGCTGCTCTGCTTCATTTATTTCTGTTATGCCCCATCTCTGGAAGTGTTCAAGGCTGGACAGGGCTTGGAGCAACCTGGGCTAGTGGAAGGTGTCCCTGCCCATGGCAGGGAGTGGAATGAGATGAGCTTTAAGGTCCCTTCCCGTCCCAAACCATTCTATGATTTCCTTCCCCAGCTCTGGGTCAGTGTGGTTGTGTTGGGGGCTACAAACCTAGCTGAGCAATGAGAGAAGAAACTTCACTAATTTATTAATTCACAGTAATATTTATATATTCTTTAAAAATAAATACTAACTTCCTCATATTATTCTTGCAGTAGAGCCACACTTCTTTTTGGAGGTTGGGCCAGATGATCTCCAGAGGTCCCTTCCAACCCTAAATATCCTGTGATCTTGGGAAAGGGCATTTGTTCTACTTTACACTACAACACTACTCACTTTTTCAGCACTGCTATTTCGTTCTCCAAGCTGCTGTCCCTGGTGAGGGGAGACTTCTTGATGCATTTCAGAGCAAAGAGCTTGCCAGTGCTTTTCTGCTTCACTAGGAAAACTTCTGAGAAGGCACCTCTGCAGAGAGGAGGAGAAGTTGTATTTCAGTAGAGGCTGCTGCTGTGAACTGGGAGGGGACTTACAGAGAGAAGAAATAGCAAGAAAAAACAAGGTGGGTGTAACTTAACTCTAAGTGGATGCCTATTATAAAGCTACAACTGTGTCTCCAGCAGCCCCAAACTCAGGGTATCAAGGCAAGATTATGCAACGTGGAGATAAACCCCCAAGTTTTCTTGGTAGAGAAAAGGTTATTTTTGCATTGTTCACCATGAAGCTGTGTTGAGGCAGTGGGCAAAAAAGCTGAAATTAAAGCAGCTTCTTCAGGACTGCCTGGGAAGACACTGAGGTGTTTTACTCCTGGAAGGGTCAGGCTGTGGGTGAACTTGAGCTCCAGGGAGGCAGAGGGCACAGAGGGTTTTCAGCACATCCCTGGGCTCACAGCTCTCTGCCTTTCAAGGAACCTTTGCACTGGAATCCCTTGGGACTGGGAGGATTTTCCCAGGCTAAGCCCAAGCTCAGGGAGGGGCTGTATCCATAACCTTCCTGAGAATAGAGCAGTCTGGAGCTCGGGGGCTCGCTGGGGTTAAACCCCTGCGGGAAAATCCCAACAGCCTCTGCTCTAATGGGGCCAAATTCCACAATATAAATCACATTTCCTCAAAACCCCCAGAGTGTTTAGGTGTTCCTGCCCTTTCCCTGCTCAGCACTGCCCTGAGGACTGAGAAAGCTGAGTGGAAGCAGCCCAGGGATGTTGCAGTTTGGGTGTTATCATCACCCAACCCTCTGTATGTCTAAAATGCAAAATAACAGGGTTATTTATGAGTTATATATGAGTTTTCATATTTTACTTCAGCATCTGATGTGTTTTCCTGCCTGCAGAGACTGCAGATACCTGTGTACCCTTAGTGACAAAGTGACAGTGAGTGTCCTGTACACTGCTGCTCAGGGTTCAGCCCAGTGCAGCCCTGAGCAGGTATTTATAACGTGCCTAAAGCTCCCAATCCTGTTAAAGGTTTGTCTTAGGGAGCCGGGCACGTGGCTCGGGGTAGTGACAGTGCACATTTTGCCAGGTCAGTCCTCAATAATCCTCGTCAAATGAGCAACAGATTAATTGATGGCCATTAAATGGAACTTGCCCCTGAGCCTGCAAAGCCCTGCAGGGAGCTGAGGGCAGGGAGAGGAAGGTGAGTGCTGTGGAAGCAGCTTTTGGTGGGGATGCTGTTGCAGCAAACCCTATAAACCAGGGCACAAGTCCTTTGTCCTCTTTAATCCACTGACAAGGAATGCCTGTGCAAGACCCTGAGGTACTGGGCTGTGCCAGGACTGGTCCCTAGCAAGGGAAAAAAAACTAAAATCACCCAACAAAACACCCCCCAAACAACAAAACACCCCATAGATTTTTGGGAAGCCACCCCAACAGATGAACTCTCAGGTTTACTTAGTAAATTATATGTAATGGTCTTCTCTCTTCCAGCCCAAAAAGCAGGTGGTGGTGGGACTTTCATCTCGTTTTACACATTTTTGCCCTTTTATCCACATAAACTGTGCAGGCTGTTTCATGGATATGCCTTTCACATTCCTGAGAGCTGCTGGGGGATAGGCAGGGACATCCTTGTAGGGTCCCTAATGCAGCTGGGCATGCTGGTGGAAGGTGATAACAAGTTTTGAGGTAGTTTTAGGTCCCAGACCTGCATTTCATTTTCTTCAGGGAGCTGAAGTAGTGCATGTGGAAAAATCTCCATTTCTAATGCTAAATTTTCCTATTAACATGATAATAGGAAACGAACAACCTACAAATCAGCTGCTGGGGCATCTGTTCTATATATCTGTCCCAAACAGTTTATAATAATTATGCCCCTTATTAAAAAATGATGAATCAACAAGTTGGCTAGGAGAGAGCAAAGCTCTTTCTAACCTCATTCCTTTAGTGAAAGCTGCTGGATAATTTATCTGATTTCTGGGGCTGATGAGGGGCATAATTAAAACGTCACCCAGTTCTGCTGTGGCTGTTTTTTGGGAGCTTTGTTGCGGGCTCTGAAGTCACAGAACATTTTTCCATGACAGAACTCGCTGGTGGAGGTAATTCAATTCCTCCTCCACTACCTTGGAGATGTTTTCTTGTCTCATCTCCGTGAATAGGCAAATTAAGCTGTGAACTCGCAGGGAAGGATTGTACGACTCAAACATCCTTGTTTTTGTTTCATCCCCCAACTGAGTCAGGGTTTCTGAGCTAAATATATGACTTGTTGTGATATTCCTCTCTTGGAGCCATCCCTAGGCCTTGGAGCAGCAGGAATGGAGCTAGAACTTATTCAGCTAAGGTTCCATGTAGATTTAGAGGGGAAGGGCAGAGCAGAACTGGAGCTGTGCCTGGGGCTGGGTGGGGAAGGAGGTGTTTTGGTGCTTCGTGGCACACACGAGCCATGAACCAGAGCACCAGCAGCGTCCCTGCTGCAGGATGGGCACCCCCAGCTCGCCTGAGACCAGAGGGAGCCAGTGCCAGGAAGAAAGTCACTGCCCTGGGCTGGGCAGGTGGGATCTGGAGGATCTGGAGCAGCTGTGGTACTTACGATCCCAGGGCCTCCATGAAAATGAAGGTCTTTCGGATGTTGCTCGTCTGCTTCTTCCAGGAGCTGCTGTCATCCTCTTCCATGCGACCCATCTCCTCCAGAGTGGAAGCAGGGAAGGCTGTGAGGAAGAAGAGGAGGAGGAGAGGTGACTGATATGGCTATGTGCTCACGTGAAGGACAGGCTGGACTCAGGATGCTGTGAGTGGTGGTTGCTGGGCCAGGGGAGTCAGGCTTTTCCAGCACGGCAGATTTTGTGCTGCTCTTGCTGCTCACAGCTTGCCCCACCCCTGGAGGTGTCCAAGGCCAGCTTGGAGCAACCTGGTCAAGTAGAAAGTGTCCCTGCCCATGGCAGGGGGTGGAACAAAATGATCTTTAAGGTCCCTTCCAACCCCAAACATCCTGTGGTTCCATGAACTGTTGGTGCTGCCCATGTCCCTGATGCTGTGTCCCACTCCTAGGGATGTAACAGTGGATCAGCTGGGGAGGAGCTGGTGACCATATGGTAATTCTCTCTTGTCACTGTACTCATTTAGAGCATGTTGGCAAATACACATGTTTATATTGTGCTTCATACTGAGTGGCTAAAAAAGCCCTGCTGAACAGTGGCTAATTTTAACTAAAAACGTCCCCAACTTGATGCCAGCAGCATCCTGGGCGTGGGGAACATCCCCTGGGACATGGAGCATCACAATTCCCAGAGCAGGAAGGGCTGCCCAAAAGCTGTGGGACACAGCTGAGCCTTCAGGAGACAAAGCAGAAGCTTTCACAGATAAATAAGCATTTGGGAAAGGCAGAAGTATTAAAGCAAAGGAAAAGCTGAAGGATCTTTTGTCATGACAGGCAGCTTAGATATTGAATCCCTCCTGAACCTACTTTATCTCCTTAATTAGCACGTTTTCAGGGTTTTCAGCTCCTTGACACAATTTTTAAAGGTTAATTTAACATTATTGAAAACAAAATTGACTCCATTGTAAACAGTTGAAGGCTTGAGTCCATAAAATCACCAAAGGCCACATGCACTTGGCCTTTATTTACCTTCTGGTTTCTGATGCATGTGTAACTCCTAGAAATATAAGTCCCCATAAAAACCAGCCCTATCTCGTTGTTTGGAATCAGTGAAGGTCAAAAGTCCTTCACAACAATGCTGATCAATTAGCAGAAACCCTTCTGCCAATTATCTTGAGGCCCTGAACGATGTTTTCTTTGCAGTCACCCACCCATCCCTAACCTACACATCTGGAATATCATAGAAAAGAGAATTTTCTGGCAGAGACATTCAGCTGGTGATGGAAGGTGAGTTTTATCCACTTGAAATAAATATCAAATGCAGGATAGCAGTGCGGTGCTGAATGACAGGTACAATTGAGATGACCTCTCCATTTCTCTCCCAGACTACTGCCAAACGAAGAATATGAAGTAAGAAAAAAAGAAAAAAACCAAGTAGGTCAGCCTGGCCCTGGGGACAAATGGCATTTTGGGCTCTGTTCCTGTGCAGCCTCTGCATGGAAGCACATCCTGGTTGGCACAAGCTCTGTGGGGCAGCCCAGGAGGGGCACAGGGCAGAGAAACCCCTCGTGGGGAGGCTGGGCTGGGCAGAGGTGACTGTGTCCCCCCATGGGAGATGACAGGGGAGCCTCTGTAAATTCACGCCCAAGTGTCAAATTTGCCCAATATTTGCTCATTTAAGCCATCACTCCCTTATCATCCTGTTTAATTCCTCGTGAAATCAACAAGTTCCTCAATTTCCAAACGGCTTTTTGGTTCTGAGGGAAGGTAGTAGCATGTTTTCCTTAGTCTCCTGTGAATCATCTGCTCATCTTATAGTTCCTCCTGCTGTCACTCCGTGTGTGGCATTTGCTGGGGCCGGGCTGGATGAGCAGCTCTGACTCCCGACACGTGGAGCTGATTTCCTGCTCTCTCAGTTGTTCTGTGCCATCATCAGCAAGTCATTTCCTGCCTCCCCTCGCCTTTCTGCGGGGAAGGGGAGTAAGAGCTGCTATTTTGAGAGCAAAATAACGGAATGTTTGAATTACCTAAAATGTAAAGCTGCATATGGCGGGGTGGGGAGTGGAAGTGGGGGATGTTTAAGGTCCCTTGCAGCCCAAACCATCCTGTGATGTGCTCGGGTGGTGAACACTTGCCCACCTTCCTCCTTGTATTGGATCACATCCTTTTCAATGTGGTGGGGTTTTTTTCCCCTCTTTTAATACAAGGGAAAGTATTTGCAAAGGGATTTGGGGCAGGACACAGCAACCTCTCAATCCACCTGTGATTATGGGATTAAAAGACCTGTGACTTCCCTGATGCTCCAGGAGCTTGTCTTTGTGTCTCAGTCTGGTTAAGTCACCTGTTGCACTTCACAGCAGTTGGTGAGAATGCAATGTTTGATATATTTGTTGTCTGAGGTTTGTTATTTATTCAAGCTCTGGCCCAGCAACCACAGAATCCCAGAATGGTTTGGGGTGGAAGGAAACTTAAAGCTCATCCCATTCCACCCCCTGCCACGGGCAGGGACACCTTCCACTAGCCCAGGGTGCTCCAAGTCCCATCCAACCTGGCCTTGGACACTTCCAGGGCTGGGGCAGCTACAGCTTCTCTGGGCAACCTGTGCCAGGGCCTCACCTTTCCAATCCCTTCCTTGGTGTTGGGACACAGCACGAGGGTAAATGGGATTTATGATATTTACTCACTTACTTGAAGAAACTTTACTTCCCCCAGCTCAGGGGCCATTCCAGCCCCTGCATTCCAGCCCCAAAAGTGGGATGCACACACAAAGTGCACCCAAAATACCCACTATTTCAAACACCTGCTCTAAACCTGGGTCTGTGTTGCTCCATCTGCCCCTTCACTTCTAGGCAGTGCAATCACATCAGTGTTAAGGTTGCATAATAAGATTGCAAAGCTCATTAACTAATGCAAGTGAAGACCTTTAGAGCTGAAAATTAAGTACATAACATTGCTTTCATTTGTTTATGAGCTTCCCTCTTCCCCATCATAACAAATTAAGCAGCACATGGGCTTCAATCTGATGAGTTTATATATATATATAATAAAGTCAGAAATAATATTTATATTAGTGTCTAACCTTTGGGCTCTTCTATGCATAAGTCAACAAACGTGGCTGCTGCTCTACTCTGATCCAGCACGACACACCAGAGTGTAATGAATGTTATTATGACCTTGCTTAAATATTTCCTGAAGAAATTTGTTCTGCTTCCACAGTAGCAAATTCATCTGCAGGCAGACACTGCTTCTGAATGGATTCTGTACTGCATTAGCAAAATTATTGAAAGGCATGATTAATAGTCTCGTGACAAAGTTACATGTGGAGGGGGAAGAGACATGCAGCTTTCATGGGTTTGTCTTTAGAATTAGAAGTTTACAGGGAAAAAAAAAAAAAGGAGAATACAAACTCAAAGGGCTTTGATTTAAAATATATATATATATACAAAAGCAAGCAATCTGCATGTGAATGAATGAAGTGCCAGGGCAGCCTCTGTGTTCAGGGACAAAAGAACAAGAAACTGGAAGCACGAGCTCGCCATTAAAAACAAACCCACCTCAAACATCTTCTATTCCCCCCACCCCACACTCCATCGATTCAGAAAACAGTGTTTTAACTCAGTAGTTAAAGATGGACACTGGCAAAAAGCTCAGATTTGATTAGAAATATTCCAGATTCCATAAAACACTTCGGAAGTCAAATGCCAGAGGCAGCTTTCTGTGAAACTGCCCAAACGTACCACGAGTGCTGGATGGAGAACTCCCCGTTAACACGGCAAAATTCACCTTTAAAAGGGCAGGTTAGCAGGAATCCCCCACCTGCTTCGGCGCACGGAGCAGGCAAAGGAAAAGCAAATGGCTCTCAAAGGAAAGAATAATTTTTTGCTTACCCAAGTCAGCACCAAACAAAGCAACTCCTGTCGGCCGCCGCTCCCGCCCGGCTCGGTCTGCGGGGATTTAGAGCCCGCTCAGGGGCTCACCGGCTGGAGGAGGAGGAGGAGATGATGATGATGATGATGATGATGATGATGATGGAGCTGCTGAGATGGTAACCAGGCAGCACCTCCCCGCGAGGAAATCACCGCGAGCCGGTGAGGGGTGTGAGGGGTGTGAGCGGCGGCAGCGGGACCCGGGAACCCCAGAGCTTCCCACCGGGAATCGCTCCTGCCGCCGGGAGAGGCGGTGCAGCAGCAGCAGCAGCAGCAGCAGCTCCTCGGCAGTGCCCGAGCCTGGTGGTGAAATATCCCCCCGGGCGGAACGCAAATTTAATTTACCCTTAATCAAAGGGATGGCTCTCGGTGTTTAGGAGAACGCCCCGCTTTCCTTTGGGTGACATCGGGGGTTCGGTGGGGACTGGAGCAGGACGGGGTTTCCCACCAGGATGCTCCAGCACTGGGAAAGGGATGCTCCTCACCATTTTTAAATGGCACAAACCCACGGGGACAAATCATCACAGCAGAGGTTAATCTCCATCCCCAGTTTTGGACTATTTTCACCCCTACAATAGCTCTATTTTGGCTTTCAAGTCCTCCCTGTGTGTGCCTCCTCAAGCACAGCACACATGAATATAGGAAATATTAATAATTCTTTGAATCTCTTCTACAGTGGAGGATTTTTAGAGCTGGCAATAACAACTTTACTGACTGCATTCTCGGTTGATTTACACTGCCATCTAGAATAATGCATGAAAAAAGTACATATCACTGCGAAGTTTAGTTTTATATCAGGAATAAATCAGCTCTGAGGCAATGCTAGAAAATCACATCCTTTTTCTTAATATGTTTTTCTTCCGTAGCTTCGTTCCAAGGCAAAGGCTGCTTGATATTCTTCTTTTCTTTTTTTGGCCAGGCTCCAACTCTGTGAACTCCACAGAGTCAGGGGGTTTGGTCAGAATTTCTGGATGTGGGTTTGAAATGTGCAGGTTTTCTTTAGTGCTGGTTTTTGGTGGGATTTGCATTGGTTTTACCTCGAAATCCATTGTGTGGCCTCAGCTGTACCTTTGGAGTAAAGGGAACCAGTTCCACTGCTGGGACAAACCCAGTGTGCTGTGAGGTGGTTTATTGGGAAGGCAGAGGAGGGGAGCAACAAGTCCTTTACTGATATGAGTTCATTATGATCTAATTCGCAACAGAATGCCAATAAGGAACACAAACTGGCAGGGACACAAGAGCATCCATCTCCCCTGTGACGCTGTGTCTGACCCCAGGTCCTGTTTTTTTGTCATGGGGCAGCACTTGCTGGTGGGGGCACTGAGCCAGGCTGGGTTCACTGGTGGGGTGATTGAGGGGAAATGAAAACATGACATGATTTGTGATCCTGTGGTTGCTCTGGAGAAGTTTAAGGCAGAGATAATGAGAAGAAAAGGGAAGCACTGACTCCACTCCAGTCCTTGGAGCTGAGATGTGCTGAAGAGGAGGTGGCTGTGATAAACAGGAGTGGGTGCCCATGTCTTGTCTTGCTCTTGTAGAACTTGCTGTAAACATGTTATAAATCTCACAGAAAGAGCGTGACTGCAGCAGGGCAGTGCTGGGGGCGACTGGCAGTTTGAGCAGGAAGAAGCTTGCCTGATAAAAAAAAAAAAAAAAAAACAAAAAAAGGAAGGAGAGCAGAGCTTTTCAGCACGTGAGAGCTGCAACATCACCAGCGTTCAGCGTGGCCTTCAGAGACACACTGAGAAAAACACCAACAACCAGCAGGAGCAAGAGGGAAAGGCTCCTCTGTGTGCTTTGCTGAGGGAAGAATCGATGGAGGTGGTGGCTCTCGACCTTGCCAGGTGGAAATCTGGGACAGCAGCGATTCAGTTCAGGGACCTGTGCTGAGCTCTCCGTGGGCTCGAGTTAAAATAGCAGTTAAAATAGCAGTTAAAATAGCAGTTATTAACCAAAGGCACTCAGAGGGAGCAGCGATCCAGGTCTTAATGGCATGAATCAGAGTGAGGAGGTGGGATGGAAACGACAGCACAACAACACGCAGATCACAGCGGCCCCTTCGCGGAGGGGTTCGGAAGGCGCTGCTTTCCCCATCCCTGGGAAGAAGGAACCCAAAACACTTCTGGGAGGTTTGGCAAGGAATGAGAGAAGAAAATACCTCCTGAATATGACACAAAAAAAGATGGAGAGTGACTTTTGGCACAGGTAACTAGTGACAGGACAAGGAACAATGGTTTTAAACTGACAGAGTGGAGATTTAGATTAGATGTCGGGAGGAAATTCCTCCTTGGGAGGGTGGGGAGGCCCTGGCACAGGTTGCCCAGAGAAGCTGTGGCTGCCCCATCCCTGGAAGTGTCCAAGGCCAAGTTGGACAGGACTTAGAGCAACCTGGGCTGGTGGAAGGTGTCCCTACCCATGGCAGGGTGTGGATTGAGATGATCTTTAATATCCCTTCCAACCCAACCCTTTGGGTGACTCTGTGATTATCAGTGAGAAGGGCAAACAGAGCAGCAGGACCAGAGGGTTTTCAAGCACAGGGGATTTTTAAACAGAGAAGTTTTGAGACACAACACCCTGAATGCAAATACAAACTCAGAAGGCAAATAGAAAGCAGCAGTGTTGGTAATCCCTGGGTTTTCCTGGAGCCTGACTCATGGGCTGTAACCTTTGAGCCTGGCAGCAGCAGAAGGGCAATGCCAGGTGGCACTTGGGGACGTGGTTTGTTGGTGGACTTGGCAGCGCTGGGTTAGTGGTTGGACTCGATGTTCCTAAAGGTCTTTTCCAACCTAAAGGATTCAGTGATTCTGTGACTCTGTGACAGGGGGTGGGACAGCCTTGCCACTGCCTTTGCTCAGCTGGAGCATCCCAGGAACTCCCAGGCTGGTGCCAGCAGAGAGCACTGCAGCACAGCCAATGGATCAACCTGGCCTTTGGAGCACAGGGAAAGAAATAAGGCAAAGTCTTTATTTAAAGGAAAGTCATAAAAATATGAGCAATGCAGCTGGGATTCTGAGTGCTTGGTCAAGGGAAGGTGTTGTTCTAGGTGAACTCCTTGAAATAATGTGCAATTCAATAACACATTCCTCCCAAGGGGAATCTGGAAGCATTATTTGATTTTCTTTGTTGCTTTAAACCAGGGATGCTGTAAAGCAAGGAGGATCCTTCATTTATAGTGTGATTGGGGATGAGCTGATGTGGGTCTAGATGCTGGTTCTTTCAGTCTGTATTGTCCCAACTGGGAAGAGTTGCTCTTCTTTTCAGGCTTTACTTTTAAAAATCAAGCAGTTAAGTTGGTTACTGAGTTACCCAAAGAACTGAGTCACGGGTTTTGTGCCTTCCTGTTAACCTGGTCATGATAATCCTGGGAACTGTGTGGTAACCATTCCTTTTAAAATGGTAAAGAATCAAGAAATTAGCTCCTGATGGGCATGTACTGCTAATTAAGCTGTTCAGTGGTGTATTTACTGCACAGCTTGGTTATCTGTTCCTATATAATTCCAACTTGCACATCTCTTGTACTGACATTGTTTTCATGGAAAACACGTCCCAACCCACTGTACAAACAACCATCCCAAAACCTAAAACCACCCCATGACCTAAAGGCAAAACTTGGAGGGTTTGGGTCTGGGATTGAATTTCTTCAGCTTGAATCCCATTTAATCTGTACTGCACAAATCCACACGAGGTGTGTTTGATCCTGCACCCAGATCCTTGGCTATTTTGCATTCCAGCCTTGCATTCCCAGTCCACACAGAGCATTTCCCATGTTGATAGTTCATGCTCAGAGCTGACTAATAGGAAGTAGCAACCAATTAGGAACCTAAAAGGCCCTTTCATCAGCCTTTTTTTGAAAAATTAAGTAGTGATTATACAGGTTTGAATAGATGTTTACTCAAGGGGTTAATTATGCATCTGTAAAGAGCAAAACTTGATTTGGTGCATCTGGGGAGGCTCAGGAAAACATGTGGAATTGTGAATCTGCGGTGCAAAGGAAGCCCTGGGAAGTTCATCCCCTCCAGCTGCTGCTGTGGCTGCTCATCCCTTTGGAGAACCATGGAGGGAGTGACCATTCCTTGCTGGAAAAGTGGAGAGAACTGGTGGCAAGGACAGCCCAGGTCTGTGTGACACTTTATTTTCCCTGTTCCTGCCACTGGAATGCTGTGGTTGCATCAGGGGCTGCTCCCACCACCATCCTCAGGCTTTGGGATGCCCTGGAATGTTCATCCAGGGCCAGGGATCACAGACCACGGTGGAATCAGGGCTTCAGCATCCTCTAGAAGCCATCAGTGAAGTGCCTGTTCTAAATGGGAAACTGGGCACTTCCCTGCTCCATAATCCCAATGGAAAGAAGGTTAAATGTATCAGTTATTACAGGGAAAAAAACCAGGAGCACTAGAATTCAGAATTTCCAGAACCATTATTCTTACACCATGTGATGGCTCTTAAAACCCAAACCTATTACAGCATTTCCAGCAAAAGAAATCTTTCAGGATGCTGACATCTGCCTGGAAGACTTTACCAGGAGCAATTTTTCTTTGTCTGCTTATTACTTGTGTGCAGTAAATAATCAAAGAGATAATGGTATTGTGGAATTTAGCTTAAGAAAGAATCCAATTAGATTCTTCTGGGCTTGTCTCATATGGGATTATTCGTGTTTCTGCTCAGATTTTTTTTTCCTCTTGGGCCAGATAGCAGCTTCAAATCTCCTTTTTCTGTTTTATCTGTGATTACACGCTCAGGAACATGAGGAAAAAAAAAAACCCTCTGGTAAATGATACACCAACACTATCTTCCTGATCTGGTCAGATTCCCTGGGTTTTCATTCCTTCCCTTACTGTTGTCAGTTGTACTCTGGCTTTGTGCAAGTCTGGGGAACACAGTAAAACACTTGGAGGTGCATCCAAGGATGGTTAAACACGGGGAAGGACAGACAAGGATAAGGAGAAGATGCTGGAAAACCACATATGTGACTGCTGGAGAATCACAGAATCATTAAGGTTAAAAAAGAAAACTCCAAGACCAGCAAGTCCAACCTTCAATCAAATCCCACCAAACCACACCACTGAGTGCAACATCTCCTTGCTTTTTTGGACACTTCCAGAGGGTGGTGACTCCACCCCTTCCAGTGCCTGAGCACTCTTTCAGTGAAGAATTCCATGGGAGTCCTGCCACACCAGCCCCACATTTGCACGTGAAAAATACCCTGGAAGTCTGAACACCAACAAATGGGTGATAAACTGGTACATCCTGGCTGCTTTTGTGTGTGATCTGCAGCTTGTAGGTGGTTTGGCTGTGAAACCCCCGTTGCCAGGCAGAGGAATTCACACAGTGAAAACATCGACAACCACGCTGGGCAGAGATCAGTGTTTAGGAGGTTGTTTTTCCTGGCACTCTCAGGTACGGGATGATGGCATTCTAGATACCTTTTATAGGAGTGGTATCTTTTATAGGAGTTGATATCTGTGGCGTGGTTGC